AGCTGTCCTTTTTCAATTCACAGCGGTGATATTCCATATCTTTTTCTCAGTAACCTTAGATCAAAACATTACATTAATAAGTAAAGTATAGTAACATGATGGGCTCCGATGATGATTATGGAATATGTATCACTTACCTGATTGTCACCCAAAGCATCCAGCGGATTTAACACAATAAGCGTGGCCTTTGACTCTATTGCAAACAAATCCAGAAACATCTCTGCAACTCGAGTCTTTCCATAGCCAGTGCCCGCCAGTATAAATGTATCACGCCCCGCGACCAAAGCCACAACTGCTTCTACTTGTAGCTCTTTAGCTTTGCATTTATATCTTTTCAAATGATTGTCCTCAATTAGCTTCCTCAATTCTTCCTCGGTCAAGGCCAGGACCCAGTCTGGAAGAACAACCTTTGCATGAGTTTGCTTAGGAACTGCATCCGAAGGCAAATAAGCGAGGACTTCAGTAGGTCGTCGATTATTTTGTACATGTTTCGCGGGTGTCAGATTGTTTCTAGCTGAGCTACGAAGAGTATCTCTTCTTCCTTCAGGCTCGAAAGCAGGCGAATCGATGGTGACCATTGAAAAGCAACGTCGACACGCCGTGAGTTGATCGGTTGGGTAACTTGAGAACCGGGCTGAAAGCTTGATTTTTCGTATGCTTTTCAAAAGCTTGAGCCAGGACCAATCCCTCCCTTGAAACTTTTGCACCGTGTCTCACAGACAAACGAGTCTGTCTCTCTCTCTCTCGTAATCAAAACGACGCTCTCTCTCCCTCCCTCTTACTCCTTGATCGCCTCTCTCTTTTGACATGGTTCTCTCTCTTTTGCCATCGTCCAAAACCTTTTGGGCATCTTTCGGATTCAACCGCCTCCGCAGTGGTACAATCGACTTCAAAAATTGTTACAGATTTCAATCTGATGATTGAAGGAAAAGAATCATATTAACCAATGTGATCATGTTGATGAGACTATGTACAGGATGTGCGAGAATTTTTTGGTCTGTTCAGATTTTTCAACAAAGCAATGATGAAGGTAATAATGTAGGTCCAGTTTCAAATGTTTGAAAATCTGGATTTTGGGAATCTACTCAGGCTGAAACAACTCGATAAGTCGTAAGTCCCTCCTCCGCAGGCTCCGGAGGACGCCTGCGAGGAGGAGGGACTTAGTTAAGTTAGCGGCGCCACGGACTGGGGTCGGGATACGTTTGGCGGGGCTTTCAGGGTGAGTTTCAAGTGCGATTTTTGTATTTTGAGGTTATGGCGCATGTGGCGCCCCTCGGCCACCGTACTAATGACCTATGTACAGTATGGGTAACTGCGACCCTGCGTTCCTGCTGGGGTGCCCTCCATGGGGCAGCGGCGAGGTCGGACCGCAGTGAAAACCGTGCTGCGCAGCGGTTTCACCCCAGTGAAGACCCTTCACACTGAGGGTGCGGTGGGACCGCCACGCCTCCGCCGCGCTGCCCCAGTTTTCAGCGGCGGGGTTTGCGTGTTGCTCACAGGTAGGGTACAACGATCCATGTCAACTTGTGGGAGTCACACACAGCATAAAATTACAAAAAATGCAAATAGTTGACAAAACACGTGTAGGAATTACATGAAGGCCGTACTACATACTCAAACATATAATGAAATGCGATAAGAGATGTCAGATAAGTGAAAAGAAAACAAAACATGGATCAATAATCGACCAACGAAAAAACAAGGGAGGCTATGATGCCTGTTTTTCTCGACGGGATTTTCTTGCCAAGACGGCTCTTCCCACACGGCTTGAATTTGAACGACCCAGGTTGGAATTGATCCAATTTCCTGCATCAGCCAAGGGTTCCAATTTCTTCAACAATGCCGGGTCGTTCCCTAAGACTGTGTGGCCTGAGATCGGACCATCCAGGATGCCAGTAGAGTATCCAGAAGACTCGAGTGCATATACCACGTCTTCAGTTGCAACGTCTGGAATTGAGCATCGTGTCAGAAACATCAGCTGAAGTCTGCAACATCTTGATATCACAGTTGCTGATGATGAATATACTCAACTGCCAGTGGCACCTGGAGAGTATGGACAACCGCCTATACCTCCAATGCTCGAGTCCACAGTCTTGACGCCCAAACTCACGGCTGTTAGGATGTTTGCTAGACTGGTCCCAAAGGTGTCGTGACAGTGGATCCCCAGACGACCAGGGTCAATGCCGGATTTTATCATATGGTCAAGACAGTCGGTGACCTGCGACGGGACCGCTACTCCGATGGTGTCTGAGATTGCCACTTCGTAACAGCCGAGATCAAAGAGCGCTTGTGATACTGATGCAACTTGCTTAAAGTCCACTTTTCCTTCGAATGGACATCCAAACACACAACTCACGTAACCTCGGATGGTCAGACCCAGCCTTTGGGCTTCTTCGGCCACTGGTCGCATTTTCTCAATGGAATCTGAAACTGACGAGTTGAGGTTGGCCTGACTGAAGCCTTCGGTAGCCGAGGCAAAAAGTGCGATCTCGTCTACGACAGGTTCACGATGAGGTGATTCCTCGAAATTGGCAGCTTTGAATCCATCTAGTCCCTTACGGTTGGGCATCAATACACTAAAGGTGGGGTTTGATCCTAACTTGGACGATATAATGTCTGGGTGGCAGATGATTTCGGCAGTAGAAGCCATTTGGGGCACCTAGCGAAAGGTTCCATTGTTGAGTGTTTGAATTGTTCTGGAAGGATTCGAATTCTGGGACACGAACCCACTTAGGTGACACGAAACTTCCGACCTCGATGTGCCGTAGGCCTAGATCTACGAGTTTTCTGATCAGTTCAGCTTTTACTGGTATTGGTAGAATGTTGGGTTCATTCTGAAGGCCGTCCCTAGGAGAAACCTCCATGATTCGCACAGCTTGTCTACGGCCAGTATTCTTGTGATCCGATCCGTTTATAGATGTCGAGGGAAGGGAAAGCCAACGCGATCTAGGAAAGCTCGGATTAAGGCCAAGGACTGAAGTTGACATGGCATTATCAAATTTTGATGTCTCGAATCGGCTCCTACATCTTAGACGACCGGCAAAATTGATAAGGTTTCTTGGACCCTTGGGCGGCATATCGATCAAGCTGACCACAAGCAGGAAAAGAAGCAAAGGAATGAGAAAGAGTGGCTGCTTCAAATCGGTTAATGTCGACAAACATATCACAAGCCATAGCATAATCGAATTTTATCCTTAAAGGCTAAAAGTCACACTTAACCTTAAGTCTGGAAGAGAATCGATACAGATTTCCACTGCTTCGAGTTCCTCAGCGGTTGATGCGGATGACCTTGATGAAAAAGTTGTGCTGGACTCTTCAGGAAAGTCATCAGTTAATGCTGGCCAAAATGTATATACGGATGTCAGGATATGTGGACTCAACAGAACACATGCCAAAGATAGATCTCCTCAATCACTTCTCAATTTAAGGAGAGTATCCCCAGAACAGTCACTGTATACCTTTACATTTCCTGTTGTCCATAACCTTACTCTTTTTGAATTCCAGGGTCTCAGTCTTGGTGTTTTGATTCATACAATTCAAGGCCTGCAGGTCTGTTGGCAGATTAGCACATTGAAGGCTTCAAACGTATATTCGCTATTTTGAGACGAGTCAGGCAAGCATTTTGTCAAAGATCCCGCAACGTACAGTAACTCGGGTGGTACCGTCAGATGGTGATGATCATTGGACAATATAATACAACGTTATTTGTTAACTTTAATTACAAAACTTCAGTCCATCCTAGATGAGCTACGTAATTTGTGGCGTTGTCTTTGACTGCATTTTCAACAGGCAATCTCAGTACGTTGACTCGGATGTTTCCATCGCCATATGCTCTTGAAAGTTGTGCGACATGGGATGCTGAGCGCCATTTTCATTTACTCCCTCATCATCCTCAGCATCTTCTTCGTCTTCGGCCTCCTCACGCGGCCCTTGCTGATCAAATTCTTCAACTGTTTCTTCGCCCTCTTCCTCCTCTTCTTCAGACCCCTCGCCACCACCTGCACCATCAGCGTCCTCAAGACCCCGAGGGTCATCTGGCATGGCCATATGCCTATCGCCATTGCTATCGATACCAGCCGCCGAATGAGTAGTAGATGTAGGGTGTGGGTGTGCATTTTGGTATGCTGCATGGGGCGCGTGGTAACTTGTAGCCGAAGTGGGAGCACTATGGTTTGAGGGTGGATAAGTGGGCTGGGCTTGATGTGGTTGTTGATAGTGGCCAGTGGAGGCGCTGGGAGGTTGAATTGGAGAGGCTTCGTGGTTCGGGCTGCGACGAGATTGAAGAGGAATTGTCTGAGCGACAGAATGCACAGGAGCTGTGGCGGGCTCTACCGAGAGGAGTTCTACCGGTTGATTTTGATGGTAGTGATTCGCTGAGCCACTATGTGAAGGGTATTGATTCTGTGGAACGGCAGTGTGTCCATTGATATTGACGCCAGTAGAATTCAAGGCGCTATTAACACCATTGCTAGAGGAGGGATTGGTTGCGTCGATTGATGTAACATGTCCTCGGCCGGGTACTGAATGAATATCATCTATCGGAGTGGTAGAGGCCTGGATAGGGGCCGAAAGAGTCTCGTGCGAAGACGTGTGAGGATCAAGATTTTGAGGCGTTGGAGTTGTTGATTGAGGGGCCTGTTGATGATTCGTGTTGATAGGAGGTAATGATGAGGTCGCAGGAGGATTGGCAGAGGATGGCACGAGACCCGACGATTGGGCAGCGGACGTAGTGATGGTAGCCAAAGCATCATACAGCACACTTCAGGAAGTGGAATTCAATTATATCCGAGATCCATAAGATGATTGAAAAAGGACCACAAAACAACTGGAAACCCACTCACGATCTCTCAATCCGAAGGCGTTGTATGTTTTTCTTCGATCTGACGATTTTCAACTGTACGATTTGGTTTTCCTGAACCGAAAGAAGTAACAGCATATGTGAATTTAATTCGAAGAAGACAAGCAACGGATGATGGGGTGATACGCTAGGAGAAAAGCAAACAGAACACAAAGGACGTACGCGTTCAATCTCACGAATCTTGGTACGCAATTCCTGACATTTAGCACTATAGCGTTGTTCATCGGCATTGGAAGGTAAGGGGTTGGCATAAGCCTTCGATTTAGGCATTGTTTGAGTCTATGTTGAGGTTGTGGGACGGCCAAGGTTGAGGTTGCTGTCGACGTTGCGGTCGAGGTCGAGGTCGAGGTGGGTGAGGGTGATGATGGGCGTTGAGGAATCGATCGGTTCGGGCCAGAACGAGTGAAGGTGAGCTTCAAAGTACCGACCCACATATCTCCCTCTCAGGGCAAACTTAGGTGTGGCGGGTCGGAGTTTCTCTCTTTAGAGATCTGATTCAATCCATCACTGGAACACAACTCACATCGTGCTTGGTATAACCGCGGATAGATAGCCTACATGCGTTGGAGCGACATCACTGAATTTGCATCATTTAGTGGCAACGGATCAGAACGGAGACCGAGGCCAACCAAGTTCCGTCGGCGTTGACGAGAGGAGTGCGAGTTTAGTTCTTTAGCTTTGCTTTGATTGGGTGAGCCTTAGCTGAGTCAGGTACGCAGCGCGTCTCATCTTTCACTTCTCAATGCTGTCTATGAGGCTTGAATTCGAAAGCAAACAACATGCTCGCAATCAATAAAGGTGCATATCCTTCACTGGAACACACACATCGAACCCATTCTAAATCTGAATAGGTAGCCTACATCTGTCGTAGAAACATTGCTGAACACGCTTGTCAGGAGTAGGGGCAAGGGACGGCGACACAGCTCGGAGTGAACACACGCTTCATTGGCGTTGACGAGGCGAGTGAGAAGTTGATTATCCTGTTTCGCTTCGCTTCAGTATAATTCAGATTAGTCATGTCCACAATCATTCTCTTCTCACGTTATATTGGCAACGCCCACCTCAACTTCATCACCTTCTTTGTGTTTGCATTTGTCTATATTATATCTATTCTACCTTCCTTTAGAAGACTTCACTTTACACTAGTACATCTGGTTGTTTTGTTCTTTTTTCGTCACTTCATCACTAAAATTGTTATTTATTATTTATTTCAAACTATCAACCAAGGTCTTCAATTGTTTACGCATCTACCTTGCTCAACTTGGAAAGTCTTACATCTCCTGGTCGAATAAATTCAATACTTTCCCCTTTTCCACCTCCCGCTTCAAATAGTGATTGGTCTGTTATAATAGACTTTTACCGCATCTAGTACATGTCCAGTGATCCCTAACAGTAAGAAGAAAACCTATCCAGGAACGAAATCGGCCTCAAATCCCTCATGATGAGGATCTTTTCAAAGTCAAACTTAAAAGACGTATTTTTTCTATGGGCCATCTTCAATCTGAAGTTTTGTGTTAAGGGACACCCTATGACTAACGCACTACGTGTTGCTGAAGACGCCAAAAGTCTTGGAGCTACTTCCCATGGGGATGATGGTGTGTACAACAGAGAGTTCCAGTTTCTGAACATTAGTTTATTCTCTATCTGATTAATGACTTGAACAGTTCTTCAAGTATCCAGTGCTTTCTCGCATCAAACCCCAGATGGTGATGGAACTCTCATTAGATTTGATACCTTGTTTTGATGTGATAGCTGAAATCAAACGTATTTGACACTTCATAGGTAGAAACATTGGAGCCACTGCAGCTGTCAAACGTCCAAAGACCGGCTTAGAGGATTCAGAAGTTGCCGGGGCCATGGGGAAGGGTCACCTTAATAGTCTTGACGCACTCCATGAACAGCCAAATTTATCTGGCTCAGATGGAAAATTGTTGGCCAGTCAAGTCGATGACTCCAAGTTTACTGAACCAATGCCCAAGATCTCAAAAAGCTCCAAGCAACCCATGGAACCCAACAAAGGACCGGTTGAAGATATCCCTGATAAATCTCCTCATGTAGATGAAAGTGTCAAACCTGCAACTCAAAATCCTGAAGCAGCAAATGGGCAAGGGTCGAAGATTCCTGGGCAAGATAGCAAAGAGACCTCAGCAGCTCACAGTACTTTGGAAGCTTCCAAGGCAAATTTGAAGGATGCTCAACCTCCCAGTGTGAAGGATACTCAACCTCCCAGCGTGAAGGATGCTCAACCTTCCAGCGTGAAGGACACCAAAGAAAATCCAGTCAAATCTACTCCAAAAAATAAAAAGCCTACAACTTCGGTAGCATCCAAAGGACTGCTTACACCAGAAGCACTCTCAAAGCTCTCAAATACGCAATACATAAAGCAAGCAGCAGCATCTGACAAAAAGGTGCTTCAAAACTATAACAAGTGGATGAGTGCGGAAGAATATCTACGTGACTTAAGAAGTAGATGGTTTGGGGAAGCAAAAACCACCTTCATAAAAAGTAATGGTGATGCGCTATTTGATGAGAGGATGGGGGCCATAACCCAAATATTGAAAGGCAGTAAAGGAAGAGGAGGATCAACGGATTCAGAATCAACAATAGAGTTGGCTGCTCAAAAGGAGTTCATAAAGGAGCAAGCAAAGAATCTAAAAGATGAAGGACTTCAACGTGCTGTTCTTGCAATCAAACTTGCTGAACAAAGTGCTGCAAAAGCTGAGAGTGCTGCTTTAAGAAGTGCTGATCAATTCTTCAAACGTAATAAGCTGTTGGAATCTTCAGGTAAGAAGGGACCCCTGCTTTATCACAAGATTCTTGGTTGATTGAAGCTAACTCATTCTAACCCCTAACCTCAAATGCTAAAGCCTTGAGATATAAGCACACAGGTTGGTCGTTTACAAAGTTTTTCAAAAAGATCTTTGCTTGGATTTTCAGGCTTGGGAGAAAAGGACAACAAAACAAAACATCGACTACAAGCGTGAAGAACTTAGGTAGCCCGGGCAAACACACACCTAAAGTTTCAAAACAACCAGCAGTTGAAGCAACATCTGGCAAAGGTGTAAAGACCCCAGGTGGTGCTGGACTGAAAGAAAACCCTTCTCAAGGACAGCAAAGCAAACAGAAGACTACAAAAGTCAAGACAACAACAGGAGATAGACCAGTAGGCGCCTCTGAAGCAGCAACAAAGGATGTTACCAAACCTGCGGATCAATTGGAGAAGGACTTAGTTAGCCCGGGCAAACACACACCTGAAGCTTCGACATCTGGCAAAAGTGTAAATACCCCAGGTGATGCTGAACTGAAAGAAAACCCTTCCCGTGCCTACAGATTCTGGCCCTCTAGCTGGACCAAACAAGCCTCATCAGCCGAGAGCCCCAACCGATCTCCAGGATATTGGGAATCATGGCTACCGTGGTCCGGAAAGAAAGTCCAACCGGTGGAGAACGAAGCTCAATCTGTTCAAAACACGGCCTCTCCCAATGGATGGCTTTCCCGGTTCAGGAGCAATAGACCTCCCTCAGAAAAGGCTCTAGACCCAGACGATAACTACTTGGGTCCATTCTCACGGCCCGCTGAAGAGAAAATTAAAGTCCAACCTGTAGAGAACGAAGCTCAATCTGTTCAAAACGCGGCCTCTCCCAATGGATGGTTTTCATGGTTCAGAAGCAATAGACCTCCCTCAGGAAAGGCTCCAGACCCAGATGACAACTACTTGGGTCCATTCTGACCGCCTGCTGAAGAGAAAGTCCAACCTGTCCACACCACAACATGAAACCACCAGCTTTCAAAGGCGCCCCAAGTTCAGTTGACAAAGCGCTGACACTTGATCAAGCGGTGGAATGATTTGTCGTCCAATTCTCCACAGTGCATAAGGTTTATCTCACAGCATGCATCTATCAGGATGTAGATTTAACTTTTGATGACACCATATACATTACTCTTGCGTAAATTTTCCATCACATTGATTCTTTTATCAGAGGACTCTTCTCTTTTTCCTTTACCACGCTCACTTTTTTATATCATTCATTTTTCTTCTCGCAACGTTTATACAGTCGATTGCAGAAAGCTTGGAAACTTTTGCCCGCCAAACTTGGGCAAATTGGCGTGGAATTCTTTCCAAGCTTTGTGAAATTGACTGTAACACTTGTATACATCAGTTACTGGATATTAAGCATTCTTTCTCGGAATTGTGGTCAGATAGACGCAGGTCAAGATATCCCTCAAGGTTTGGTAGAAAAAGCCCAAGAATGTCCAAAAGATTGACGAGATTATCTTGAAATGCATCTGAACACTTCAGTGGACGACGTTGTCAGAAGTGAAAGCTACCCTCGTAACGAGGATGGACTGTTGCGATGAGCACAATCCCCAGCTGTGAGCCGTCCCGGACTAGAGTTTTCCTAGGGATTCACGTCTTGAGATTCTGTGAGGCTCCAACAAGCTCGCTCAAAAAAGACATACACATCACTGAAACATAAAGTCATATCGGACTTGATCAGCTAATTGCGCATGGATAGCCTACATCTGTCGATGCGACATCGCTGAGTATGGTTGTCAGTTGTCGCGACGAGGAATCATGAGACAGCTTGGCGTAAAACGAGTTTTGTTGACATTCAGTTGGTTCGCTTCGCTGCGTTTCAAGCCTCAGCTGAAGTACGCAGCACTCCTTATCTCATGTCATTACATCAAGCGCCAGCTCAACTTCTGTCCATCTTGGCTTGTAACTTCTCTATATCTTTTGTTTGTTCTTTTTTCAAGAGACTTCTTAAAACTAGCTTATATACGGTCCCTCTGTTCTTTTTGCCCACTTCAATTCCGAATCGTTACTTATACTTGGCAATTCGCGTAAACTTTCAAAGTATTAACCAAGGTCTTTGATCATTTACTCTTCTATATTTCACAACTTCAAATATATTTCAGTTCCTTTCAAATACATCCATTACCTTGACTCCAATTCATCTGGCTCCAGTTGACAATATCAGCCTGTAATACACCCTTAACACATATATACTCTTTGTACTGATCCATACTTCTAAGGCGTAATATATCTTCGAAAAGAAATCAGTGCCAAAGCACTCATGATGAAGATCCTTTGGAAGTCAACCTTGAAGGACATATTGCTTCTATGGACCATTTCCAATCTGAAGTTCTGTGTTACGGGACACCCTATGTCTAACGCACTATGTGCTGCTGAAGACGCCAAAATTCTTGGAGCTACTGCCCATGGGGATGATGGTGTGTACAACAGCTAGTTCCAATTGCTGAACATTAGCTTATTCTCTATCTGATTCATGACTTGAACAGTTCTTCAAGTATCCAGTGATTTCTCGCATCAAACCCCAGATGGTGATGGAACTCTTATTAGATTTTATACCTGGTTTTGAGGTGATAGCTGAAACCAAACGTATTTGACGCTTCATAGGTAGAAACATTGGAACCACCGCGGTTGTTAAACGTCCAAAGACCGGCTTAGAGGATTCAGAAGTTGCCGGGGCCATGGGCAATGGTCACCTTAATAGTCTTGACGCACTCCGTGAACAGCCAAAGAATGATCTCTCTGGTGCGGATGTAAGATTGTTGGCTAGTCAAGTTGATGACTCCAAGTCCACTCCACCAGTGCACGAGGGCACCAAAAGCTCTGAGCAACCCCCAAAATCCAAAGATGTCTCAGCTGAACCTCTAGACAAGAAGGGTAGTCCTTCCACTGGAGGTTCTGGCGGAGAAGATGGAAAAATACTGCAGAGTCTCAAGAGTGGCGCCGAACGCCTTGAAATTTGGGCTCGAGTCAAGCAAGATTACGAAAAGTTGAACATGGAAAATAATCCACTCAAATATCCTCAACGAACTACAAATTTGGAAGCGCCGGGAGCGCCTGATCTACCTCCAATATTTGCAAAAGGACTCGGCAAGGCTTTCCGTATAGATTTTAAATATCTCAAGCCAGCTGAAGTGCAAAAACTCCCTCCTTATGAACTTCTCCGATACATTTCAGAGAGGGATGTCAATGTGCGTAAAAATACCAGAAAGTTGGACGACCTCGCACGAAATTATTACTCGGCTCAAAAAGATGCTTTCTACGCGGCTGCAGGTGAAAGTGCAGATCGCATTGATTTAGATATTGAGAATTTGGTCAAGAAGAGGAATGAAGTGCTTGTATCGAAGGGTAAATTCTCTCAGGAATATTTCACAACGTTCTCCCAAAATATACGAAACTCGCTTGAAAAAGATTTCATCAAAAAAGCGGGAGCATCGGACCTAGGCACCGAATTCAGAACGAGATACACGAAACTGCAGACGGCCAAATCAACTTACGACCAAGCTTTCAACCTCGCCTATGAGGATGCACAGAAGCTTATTTCTAGTGAATCACTCGCACCAGGAGCCCTTGCCAAGCTCACCGATGCCGAATATGTGAGAAAGGCAGCATTTTTTGACGAAACTGTGGCACAAAATCTTGATGATTGGATGTTCTATGAAAAACAAGCAGCTCAAAAGTTCAACGAGTTGTATCCGAAAGTCTTGGAAAGATTCAAGAAGATTAAGGGTGAGGAGAAGTTCAATGGGAGGATGCGTAGCATAATTAAAAAACTGGATCCACATGCAACAGCAGAATCGACTGATCCTGAAGTCATAAAACAAGCTGAGAGACAATTTGTCAAAGAAGCAAAGGCCCTCAAAGATCCTGAGATTAAAAAAGCTGCGTTTGCGATCAAGTCGTGGGAAAAAACTACTCGAAATGCCAAAAATAACGCAATAAGAAGTGCTGATAAAATATTCAAACGTAACAAGATTTTGGAATCTGCAGGTAAGAAAGGACTTCTGTATTATCAAGATTACACTTATCAAGCTCTTGTTTTGAAGGATTGAAGCTAATTATTATTTTGACCCGTAACCCAAAATCCTGCAGACTTGAGATATCCGGGTTGGTCGTTTAAAAGGTTTATGCAAAAGATCTTGGATTGGTTTTTTGGACGTGAAAGGAAAGGACATCAGAACAAAGAAGCGACCACAACAGCAAAGCCATCAGCCGTAGACGGACCAACACAAAAGACAGTCCCTGAATCAACACCAAAGACCAAACCTGCATATCAATCAGAGCAGAACCTAGTTAAGCCAGGCAAACATACACCTGAAGTTCCAAAACAACCAGAAGTTGAAGCTACATCTGTTAAAGGTGTAGATACCTCAGGTAATGCTGACTTGAGAGCAGAACCCCCTTCCGGTGTCCGAGGACCTGGCTGGAGCGATCAAGCTTCATCAGGTGAGACTCCCAGCCTATCTCAAGGATCCTGGACATCATGGCTACCACGACTTAGAAAGAAAGTGCAAAACACAGCCTTTACCAATAGATGGTGGAGCCGGTATAGAAGTGATACAGTTTCCTCAGAGTCAGAGACGACTCCGCTCCTTGGGCCCAATCACATCCCCAGCTGAAGCAAAAGCTCAACTTTTCCAACCCAAAACGTGAAATAACCAGCTTTCAAAGGCGGTAAAGACTCAGCTGATGACCCGGCTGAAACTCAATCCAAGGGTGGATTAATTCTTGATCCACTTTCCCGCACTACATCACGTTCATTTTACTTATAACGTGGCTCAATGTGGGTATCATTTGATGGCTCCATATGCACAAATCCTTCCTGCGTAGACTGTCTTTTTCAATGTGTTTTTTAAGGATTCTTATGTTGTGTCTTTAGTACCTTGTTAGTACCTTGAATTGTTATCCCATCCATTTTTTTCTCGCGTAATTTTCGACACTTTCATACACGAGTCATTGAAAATTCAGCAGTTTTTTTGGTACTTGACTTTTCCTCCCTGTGAGATTTGTTGTGGATGTGAGTTTGAGATTCGAACGTGATGAGTGAGTAACAAGGCAGAAAATTTTCAATTTCATCCTGTAGGGAGAGTGATACCATAATTAGGGTATTCTGAAATTTTGAAGTCTTCATCCTGTTGATCCAAAGTTTGCTGATCCCAGGCAGGTGATAAACCTGTTTCAAGATTTTCAAGTGGTGGTGATCCTTCATCATGCTCAAATGCAAAATATCAAAGAACAGCTTCCACCTAGTGCACCTAATGATCCATCTCCATCATGTAACCTTGAAAGGTATAAAGACATTGAACAAATAATCCCATAAGCCAAAAAACTGTCTATGGAGAAAAGGGAAAAAGTTGAAAGGACCTTGTTAATAACATAAGAGAGTAGAAAGTCTTATACATCTGTTCAACTGCATTCAGCTTTCAAACGGTGATGCTAGAAGAAGGCTCATTCTTCTGCATAGAACAGCACTTTTCAGGCCACAAAGACCCGTACTTCTCTTCCGTTTTTCCTGCCAAGCTGATAGTATATGATGTATTGTAAGAAAACAGTAGAAGGACATCTCGTCCAAAATAAACTCAAGTGTAGCAAAACTCATTGATCTCTCAAATCGTCAATCCTTTCCTTTCTCTCTCCTTTTCTATATATTCCCCAAGTACATAACAATCACAACAACATATGATGATATACAACACAGATTGGTCACTTAAATAACATTGATAAAAAGAAAGAATGGCAACGACGTTTACATGAACAGTTTGACATCTAGAATGTCTCTATTATGGTGAATGAAGATAAGAAAGAGTTGAGGTCTAATGTCTTTATTAGTGGCAATGTGATCTTGGAAAAGGGATCCGACCGCTTGATGAAATGGTAAAACTACATTTCTCGAACCGACGAGTCACGAAGGATGTTCAATGTGAAGTATCTGAAAGAGACTGGAAGCTGTGGGATGTATGGTATCATTGAACTGTACGAGGCTGTTGCCAATCCGGATCAGGGTGATGTTCGACGTTGGAGGGGGTCCCATCTACGACAAGCTAACGCTACCCACTTGCTCGCCCGGTACGTTGCTTGCCAGTAAGTCAGAAACAGGAAAATCTATACCTTCACTCAGGCTCTCAATCACTTCATCCACTTCATCTAAACCAATGCCTCCACATCCTATGCTAATCAGTCTTCGATAATCGTTCAGCCTATTAGCAGTTGCGGATCCTTCACCTCTCTCATCACTTGGAACATTTTCACTTGATAGATTGATAAATTCTCGAAAAAGTTCCGCCCGTTCATCACGTAAACTCATTAAATTAGCTCGCACTCGATCACATTCACCTTCCACATCATTTGGCATCGCCAAAAGTTGTAGCAAATCAGCGTTTCCATCTTCCAGTGAGCGCAAACCAGAAGTAAGATTTTGATGATGAGCACGAAGGTTGATATTGGTGCCTGAGCCAGACTGTTGTTCTGATGTTTGAATCTGTTGCGTGAGCGAATGTTGTTGCTCTTTAAATATCTTCTCTCGTTCCTCCTCATCTCTCACATACTTCTCCCACCCAAACCGATACCGTTTACTCATCTTTTCATTCAATTCAGCTTCCAGCCTAGCCTGTTCGGATCTCTTATCGCTAAAGTCAGCTAGTAGAGCTTGATAGTTGGTAAGCTTCTGTTGACCTTCCGCTAATTCAGATTGAATCCCGTTCAGTAAGCCATTGGCATGGTTCAAGTCGTGCTCTTTCTCGTTTAGCGTCGAATCAAAGCTAGCTGCTAGTGATTCGATCATTTGGACCATCTGAGGCATCGCTTCGTCCATTACTCTCTGTCCTGTCTTAGAGGGATGTGATCGGGATTGATAACTTGATGGACCGGGAATCAAAGCCGGTATGATGTACGGATCTGGACAGGGAGGAGGTGGCATCCCTGTAAGCATGCTAGACTGTGTATCCGAGGAATGTAGCTCAAGTCCATTTGGATTAGTAAGGTATTGAGCCATTGGCACTCCCTGAAATTTCTCGTCTTCAAGGATATAATCTTCCGCTGTTTTCCCTTCACGATTTCCTATTTTTGGATTGGCACCATGATCGAGTAAGATTTTGACCAGTCGTTTGCTTCTTGATCTTGCAGCCAGCGTTAAGGCCGTTTCTCCATCCTCATCTTGAAAGTTCAAAATATCGGCCAATTCTTTAGGGTATTCCGACAGCCTGTTGAGAATCGTCTCGAGATAGTATCGGGCAGCATGCACTTTGCCTTTCTGTAGAGCAATATCAACTACATAATGAAACACAGTTCGATCGTTCCTATCGATGTTGATGGTAGACTGATTCAAAACCTCGAAGAGCTCAGGAAATTTGCCGAGATCGTGGTTGTTGGTGAACATCACAGCGCGCATGAGAGCCGTTTGACCAACGTGATTCGCGCGAAAGATTTCTGCTCCACAAGCCAGCAAGAGTTCCACAATCTTAGTTCGACCCATAGCGCAAGCCCAATGCAAGGCTGTGTGTCCATCATCATCAATGATCACATTCGGATCAAAGTCATTGGGAGGGTGGATCAAGAAATCGGGTATCTCCCCTGACTCAGAGACAAAGTAATCCAAGATGGCTCTAGCGTATTTAGATGACGCAGGATCGTTCCCGTTTTCGTCGGTATAACTGTCATCAAGAACATCGTTGTAACCCTCTTCTGCTACAGGTTCATCTTCGTATTTTCGCTTGCCACGTTGAACGTTGATTTCTTCGTACTGCTCCTCGGTCTCTCGCGCCTTGCCCTTATTGCGACTGGCTCCCGCAGCTTGCTGCGCTAACCAAAGCTCTTCGGCTGGTGTTGGCGTTCTAGCAAAGCGAGTTCCAAATTGATCTGGGGTTAGATGCGACGTTCAATACATGCTCAAATGGTGAATGACTGACCTGACCGGTTCACCGAGATGTTCTGCTTCGAGGGGAACATCAGGTGTGCTCACATTCATCTTAGTCTGACTGTAAGTCGCGCTTATAGATCGGTTCGGCTGGCTTGGGACTTGCCAATTAACAGTACCTACGGGTGGATCGCGTAGAGGAGTCACACTGAAGCTCCTATCGCTATCCGAATCAAAATTCGACCTTGAATTGTTCGTTTTCCTACCGCTTCCACCTATCGCTGGCAACTTGGAGCCAAGAGTGGCCGCATTTGCGCGCGCTGCTGCTGCTGCCGCTTTAGAGGTCTTTGCTCGGCTTGAAGGGGCGGTGACATGTTTAGGTGCTAAAGGCGGTGACTCGTTCGCGGAAGGTTGATAATCCGTAATAGGGGCTAAGAGGTGATCGACACCATATTGCTTCGCGAGCTCTACACCTCGTTCGAAGGGTACCCAGGTTCCTTTTTGTCATTGAAAGTGACGCGGACGATTGGAGATTTCACCAAAGTCAACATTGAGCGTATTCCGGAACGTCTAAAGTCATGAAAAAGTATCCAAGCTCACCCTGATATTTTCCGTAACCACCCTGAATCTTTTCATGTGTGCCTTTTTGAACCTCTCGTTCAAGTACTCTCGTTCTTTGAGGTTTATCGAAGCCTGCTACTTTGAGAATTTGGGTTGCGTTCTAAGGATTCCAAAGAGAGTTGAGCTAATGTGTTGAAAATCGATCGGGATACCACCAGGGGGATTTATAAAAGGATTTTGAAGGAGCTGACCAGCCATGAATCATTACGTCGCCTCATCACCGCTACACCTTTACATGGCATCTCGAACACCGGAACCCCTAAATGAGAATGAATAGAAAGTCGCTTTATTAGCGCGATTGAGGGAGTTCTGACCAATCGGGAATGCCTAAAAAGAGTCTAACCTGAATAGGTAGCCTGGATTAAATACCATGGATGGTGATTTTGAAGGTAAAGGATGTTGATGAATCAGAAGAGAGTAGGTAAAGCAGACGAAGCACATAAACAAGCCACGTACCTTGAAGATGACTACGGTTGTCATTTGGAATAAGTTTATGGTGAAGTCTTGATGAAGATAGTTTTAGATATTTTAGAAGAATAGTGAATGAAGAATGATGATAAGTTGAGTCGATAACTTTCCAGATGGTTGCTGATGAAATGAAATGAGAAATGAGAAAATAGTAAACTGAACTCAGCACTCAGCAGACTCTTCGGTTGAAATGACAATCGATGATCTTTTATTTACACACACACACATTCACACAGCAAGGGGGTACCCTATCACAATAACATATCACTTTTACATATCAATTCTTTCACTTTGACTCACCATAACCTCCTCCAAGGACCTCCATCCAACTATTTGTGATGTTCCTTCAATCAGGAGTCAACCCCAAGGTACTACTGCATCGTCCTCTTCTTGATGCAATCAACTTATTTTCAAGCAGTCATCTTATGCAGCAAAACCACTGATAAGAAGTCACAAGGTGGCTTCACTTGTAGCTTTGCTGAAATGGACTTGCACTCTCTTGTTGTCTGAACAGGGTAACATTTTTCTACTCTCCTGTCTTGGCACATCTTATCCCCATTTGTCCAGAAAAATTGTGTCTTGTTGGGTGTCAAAGTCTTCTTGGAACCTTCCACAGCAAAGGCAAAATTTATTGGTTTCCTCATCATGGAATTATCAGTCAAATATTGGACGAAGGGGTGAGAGCAGCTTTTGAGTGTATGAACATTCCCTTCAATAGACATCTTGCTGTCAGCTACATGTCATGTTGATTTGTACATCCGACCCAAGGAATTATAAGCTTCTCCATCTCATCCTCAGATTAGAGATAATTTCATTTTTTTTGAAACGACACAAGAGGGCATGAAGGAGAGTGATAGATATATGAAGGTAATTTTACTCGTACATGACAAAAAACATAATCTGATTGTTTTCTGCTATACTTCAATGCACAACACGGCCAATCTGGATTCATTTGAACCCATTCGGGTCCTGTTTACCTTTTCCTTCTATAGCAAGGAAGGACAGACCGCGAGAGGTTATTGAGAAGAACTATAAGTAACTGATTGGTACTTGGAGAGTAAAGGTGACAAGCTCAACACCATGGCACTGCTCTTAATCTGATGAGCGAGGGTTCATTCCTATATTTTTTGTTTTCCAGAACACCATCTTTCTAGTAAGAATAAAAAACAGTGAAAGATTGTAACCCTTTGTATGCTCTCAAGAATCACAACAAATCATAGGACTAGTTGTGTGTGCTAATCTGTGGGCAACATCAATGGCCCATTCCGGCTCAGCGGCTCAGCGGCCGGATTTTATCGTCCCACTGCCGACGAAAAAAGAAGAAAAATAAAGTTGTAGTACAATAGCAAGCATGTTTCAGGTCAGAGGGGCATCAATCGAATGCGTACGCAAGAAATACAAGCCGATGCCGATCAAATGATAGTCACGCTCCATAATCAATTTCAGAAACAATGCCTCGGATGAGAGAGGGCACTGTGCGGTCTGCGATGTTATGATGCCTGCTGGCATGACTGCAGGGATTGCAAAGAATGAGACGTTACCGCAAGTCTTCATAGTACAACATGAGATCTTAACACGCGTTTCATCCATGGCTTCAAGCAATTCAAGAGCAAGCGGGCCCATTTAAAAAATCGTCCTTCACTGCGCTGATAATCGTGATAATGATTGCTACGTCAAAGCTTGGGTTAGCGTCAAGGACCTCGCTAAGGCTCATGAGGGTATGCCTTTGGTACACTCCAACCTCGTTACATCTATTAGTATTGATCGACTGTGGCGTGCAGTGATTCTCGTAGTGTTCGACTCTGAGTGCAACAGATCTTGATCTTGATCCTATATCAGTTGTTATCTTTCAATCAGCCCCTCACGTCTCGGCTTACCGCATAGTTTTCTGACAACAAATCACATCCTTTCAAATCGCATCTTCTATCATTCTTACCTATATATAAAATTCGCCGAGTGGTCCTTTTCTGAAAGCCCCACAGTTTTCCTGTGATTTATTTGAGACCTCGTAGTTGGTGAGATTCAATTCCAGGCAATAGCTTTCATCCCTTGTGATTGTCAAAGGATCTTCACATAACCCTAATTGTTTTCTTGTACGCTTTATAGCCTTCGGCATCCTTAAATTTCCTTGCCAGCCAGGAATCACCAGGTGAGGACGCGGCCAAGCCTCAAAACTTTTCAACTTGAACACGCAAGTCAGATCGCCACTACGATCGCCATCAACATTAATGGCGACCACAGCGGGTTTCGAACAGACAAAGGAAGAAGTTAATCACGACGAAGTGTGCGAACCATGTTTGCCAATAGATCTCTCTGAAGAACCAGTACAACATACCCCGGCATCCAATTGTGTGGATCATTGCGACGTGACCCCTTTACAGCAGATGCCAGAGACATATTCCTCCGATTCTCTTACCAATGATGAAACAATCCAGGGTGAGAAACCCTTCACCCGTGATAGGTACCAGATTCACCCACAAATACTAAGATAACAACGTGTGTTGTCTGTAGGATTGAAAAAAAGAGTGGAGGAGCTAGAAGAGCTTTTACAAGAATCATACCGTACCATCGAGACTCTCAATCATCTACTCTATCCCGATCACAGCATTGATGGCAATTTGATCGAGGAATTTCCAGTGTCTGGAAGCGATGAACTTTATTCGGAAACCCAAGCGCAAGACCAGTTCTCCTCACCAACGCTAGTAAATTTTACTTCTCATCTACACGGGTCGAACTACTCTACTGGGAAGAGTCCAGGTCCTGTCGATCAAATGGCTGAAGAATACGAAGACCGACACCACGAGGACGAGTTTTCGACCCAGCAACGAACATGTGACTCGCCCTTACCTGATAGTCTGGATGAATGTTGCACGCCGCCTTACTCTGAATCATATGAAATGGAAGAAGAGTATCCCTTTCAAGTGGAAGTCGATACTCCAATGTTGGATTCTGTGTCAGCGTTGCAGAAGGAACAAAATCCTCCTAAAATCGAAACAACCAAAGCACTGGCGAGTAGAATCGCTAGAACTCCTAGCCAGGATTACAGGGAGTCGAAAGCTCGAACACGGGCGTTATATAGGCGATCCCAACACCCTCAGTCCTCGTGGCATCGGTTCTCAAAAAGTTCCTTCAAAGAATGTTATCGCATTGCGGCATCGGCTTCACTTAGGTCTTCAAGTATTGCTATGAGAGCATCAGCAAGTTTCGATTCTAGAGGTAGACCACACCATCAAACACCACGACCTAGGCGCCTTTACCAGGACACGAGAGAGCCAATTCATATTCCTGGCAGGAAAACGGGTTATCCAGCTCGACAGCCACCCATCTCCGATAGAATCAGTAAGCCAGCCAATAATAGAGCAAATGAATACGTATATCGCCGGGAGCACATAAGATCTCGTGAACCAGAATTTGCTGCAAGATTGGCGGATTACGCCCAGAAACTACCGAGGGGATATTCAAACGGGACATCTCACAATGTACGACACTATGATGAAGGATGGTCATCTCGTCGACCCACGAGTTCTAGCGGAAGACAAAATTTGCACCGAAGGCGAGAATACTATGGCGAAAGATCTTGAGAGTCCATGAAGTCAGATTCGCAAACATCATCAAAGAAATATCTCTATTCAATGTACATCGCCACTCTTTATAAATTTATAACTATAATTACGATTTGCTGTCATTGCATTGTGGACCTAGAATCAATACATTATGTGCTTCTGCCAGAATATTCTTCATATTCAGAATTGTGGCTGTAAAAGTTTGCCTTGTGATAGATTCATAAACAAATATATCCGTACTCCTCTCAGTTCTCTCTTTTCTCTCCCTTTCAAACTCTTATCACAGTGACTAATTACGCCAGGACCTCTTTATGTGTCGATATATCCAATTGTTCCCATCACCACTCTCACCCCATTTGAATTATTAAAGCCTGTTGTCTTTGCGTCATTTTTCTTTCTCGGTTGTTCTATCAAAATTTTGGGTTTATGAAGATGTGCTTTGTTCCAAACATGAGCATGAGTATAACAAAAACATTAGAAACCCGCATGATCTGATTACATCTAGTTCTTGGTGTATGTGACCACACACCAATTTTGTCTACAAACCAATTGCAAAATCAGTCCTCCTTGCAAACTTAACTAAGTCCCAAGCTGGACCTAACCACCAACTCCAGCGAGGGACTTACATCTAATGTCAAAAAAATGGCGTGAGATCTGCCGGGGCATCTAAAATATAAATACGTCGAATCGACTCGCATGAAGTACCGTTCAGTACACTTCTTCGATTCGGTTCTTGTTGCCCTGCGTTGCTTTTCTACTTTTTCATCTTGAAGTCGCTCCCTTAACTTGTGTCTCTTCCACTTTTCATCTGTATCTTTTGTTGTTTCTTATTGTTCCTCTCTCCCAACTCTGCTTTTCTTTCTCTGTTTTAGTTTGCTTTTCTTTCTCTGTTTTAGTTCCTATTGTTTTTGTCTGCTCTGCTTAACACTATGGTGGCCCTGAGGCAAAATCACCGCCACCCCTTTCTGTGATTTGCGTTTTGCGTTTTGTGATTTGTGATCTTTACTTGCATCATTCAAAAACGTCCCCAGCGCATTCTTCAGTCTCAGTGTTGACTATATACCACTTTCTTAACCTTCACTCTGTCATAGATTGCTGACCCAGATATCCAAAAGCGGATTAAACGCGTTTTTTTTTCTCTCAAAAATTCAAATTACACACAATAAGTTTGAATCTCAAAATTGAGTTGAACCCATAAATCACAGCCTCTTATCATTTTGTATCAATTGGAGACTGACAACTTGATATTTTTTCTTCAAGAAACTGCATCAAATGACCATCTTCATCTGAAGAATATGTCGACTTCTGCTGTTTTACAACTGGATCATGGTAAATAAACCACATGAGACTCTAGTAAAACCGTTATTAGAATCAAAATCAGATAGGTTGGCTATTTTTCATGGGTGAATCAAAAGCAGTTAATGTGATCCTGATCAAAGTATCAAAAATATCTATCAAGAGTTTGGATCTATTTAGTATATAGTACAATGAGATTAAATAACAAAGAGGAAGGCTTTATCCTAATTTGAGAAAATTAGTCAATGATATGAAATTCAGTGAGTGAGCATGGTGATTGAGAGCAACAGTTGATAAGTTTGAGGAGAAGTCCTACTCAACTGTGTTCTCCTAAAGACTTGAACAATGAAGATTGCCCCAGCATTTGATGTAACACTGGTGTAAAGCTTTGGGTCCATGTTTTGATGCGGTTGGCTGAACTTTGGAATCGACAGAAGTAACCTACATTTTGCTATGGGTGATCACTAAGCAGTTAATGTTCAATATTGATCTTACCCCAAATCGAGTCGCCGATCAAGTTTCTTGAGGTGATAATCTCCCTGATAGACGCGTACCTTGATGGCACAAGTGTATGCAGCGACACGATCGAAGTAGAATCTTCAAAATTTGATTGAGATGAGATGGCGACCAATTCTCACCTCTCCTTAGCTTCACAAAGCCCTCAGAGGCCTCTCCTATGTCCCATTTCATGATAAGTAGATACCATAGAAGTTCCCAGTTCATCATTGATGTCGCTTCCTTGGATTGATGACAATCGCTTGTCTAGGATGTCCTCGTCTTGAAAAATTGCCAATCGCACGTCTGATGCACTTGCAAGGTTTGATTTGTATGTTGTGGTCTACATCAAGATAGAATTGATTTCTGGGGTTTTGAATGGATGAGTGAGAAGCAGTGAGGAAAGTATCTGGGACATTTTTGAATGATGCGAGTAAAGATCACAAATCGCAAATCACACAAAGGGGTGGCGGCGATTTTGCCTCGGGGCCACCGTATAACACTCCCCTCCCTTTCGTTCTTGTGCTTCTTTTCCTAACTCACGCTTTCGCGCGTGCTTTGCTTTTCCTTATATATACATTGTCCTTCCGTATTGCTTTCGCTTTGCCTCACACTTCGCCTTTCGGGAATAATTGCCTAACAGCGCCTTCCTTTGTCTCTTAGGTGTGATGTTATATCCCTTGCCTTTCGACTCTACGACTGCCACTCTTTGTGCAACTTTTCTCTAATTGTGTTTCCAATTGTTGTCATTTCTAGAAAGCACTATGTTACCCGTGTGCTTTTCTCTATCGTTGCTTTTAACCGCCAACTTTCGTCTATATAAGGTGCCTCTTTTCAGTACTTGAAAGTCGCCGTGCCACGGTCCACCACACAAGTTGTTGGGAGAGCAGGAATCATATACCGTTGGACATTAATCGACTGAGCCACATCGGGGCGAACAGATACGACGAGGTACCAGAAGAGTGGGAAACGTGAGTTGCAGGCGGGTAATTCACTTTCTACGTGAAAATGTATAGTTGTTAATGTAGACTGTTTTCAGGTTATATGTGACGGGTATGAAGGACTTCATAGCGCTCGTGGATATGGCCTCAAGATTACCGTACTACACTCAAACTTCGAAGCGCATGATAGTTAAGAACATGGACCAGGAGGAGTTTGAAAAAGTGGTGGAATTTTTTACGGACCTAGAAGCAGGCATAGTATGCTTCCCAGGATTACTACACTTGGTAAATAAGGGAGAATTGTAGATACAAAGGTATTTGCAAATTACCTGGACTTCGAAAAATTATGCTGTACATGTTGTTCTTTGCTCTTGTTTTGATAAGATCTTGTGGTTGTAATCCATTCTTTAGCGTGTTGAACTTATAATGTGGAGAGTAAGGCGGAAGCCTAAACACTACATAACTGTTTTTAAATTTGGGGAGGTCGCTGATTAGAAGCTGTGAAACTGTTGCGGGCCTGCCCGCGAGTTCTCTAGTTTCTCAAAAAACTGCCAATCCTCATACTCACGATCCTCGCTAATCAAGGCAGTTTTACTCGATAATGAAAAACACGCGCTCATCATATAGCCACCATTGAACACCCTCGGCCTCTCATTACCTATCCTAGTTCACGAAATATTTAGGAAAAGACGTTTGGGGTCAGGCCCCGGGGATTTCATGTACATTGGGCGACTGCGCGGCCCAAAATACCTTACAGCAGGCCGAAACACACAATTACTTTGAGGCGTCCTCACAAAACTCTCAATAAGTTTCTGGCAAACTGCAGTTTCACGTATCACCACCTGCTAGCACGCGCAAATTAACAAGTACGCGATTTCAACACCCTCACGTGAAGTACACCTTCCCTCACCAACGTCCGAACCTTCAACAATGCTTTGCAGGAGTCATTCCGCGACTAACGCAGCTCTCATGAGCCAGTCTCAGGAAGAACGTCGACTCATCTCGCTCACGGCCAAACCAAAACTGCGAGACGTATACATTAACACCACGGAAGCCACCCATGTTCTAGCTGTGGACGAACACTTTGAGTCGCACTTTGGATACCGCGCTCGGCCCCCTCAGAACAAAGCCATAGTGGATCTAATCAATGGATGCACAAGTTTCTTAATTGCGGGTACTGGATTTGGCAAAAGCCACGTACCAGAGATGTTCTACCTTGCACACGACCCGAAATATTCACCAGTCGTACTCTGCATTAACCCATTACTATCCCTGGGTGATGATCAGGCAAGTTAAATTTCACATGGAAATTGTAGTTGGATGGCCCTGACACCAGTTTCACCCTTTCACAGGTGAGCAAAAAAACCGCTGTTGGGCTTACCGCGATCAACCTGGACGGCCCAAACTGCACGCAGGGGAACTGTGACGCGATACTGCAGGGAAAGTTTGCATTTGGATATGTGGTAAGTGCTTGAGCTCTGAATGACTGACCTCGTGAGTTGTACTGAGTCATTGTTATTGATTTAATGCAGAGCCCCGAGGTTGCACTGACAAGCAAAGTGTTTGACAAAATGTGGACCGATCCGCGTTTCCAGGCGCGGCTGGTCCTCAACGTCGTAGATGAGGCACATATGGTGTACAGTTGGGGCATTGTTGAGACTGGCGAAGCCAAACGATTGGCAAGCCATGTGCGTGTGCAGGACGGTGGAGCTTTCCGGCCTTCATACGGTGACCTAGCTCGAAGATTCCTCTCGGCGGACCGGTTTCCACTGTTGTTGATGACTGCAACTTGCCCACCTCAACAAGTCCAGGCTATCATACGCAACCTCAAACTGGACATGCGAGATGTTTGTTTCACTCGAGGCGAGCTCACTCGTCCGGAAATCCGACTGCTACGACGATCTTTTAAATGTCCTCTCAAGAATTGCTTGCGCGGGATATTCACCCATCACTCAATAGTTTCCAACTCCGCGATTCCTCCCACTCTATTGTATTCTGGTACACAAAATGCTACTTTGGAATTTCTCCAAATGATCAACACTTCTCGAGGGCTTTCCAACGAAACAGCGAATGGCCATTCGGATTTCGCACGCTGGTACCATGCGACAACGGGTCCGATGGCGAAAGAACAGGCCGTGAAAAGTTTCGTCAATGGGGAACTCTCCACGATTTGCTGCACCTTGGCTTTAGGCCTAGGGCAGAACTGGCACCGCGTACAACGGGTGTTTATATATGGACGACAAGATCCATGCAACTTAATCCAGATGTCCGGCCGTTGCGGAAGGGATGGGCGTCGAGGTTTGGGAGTGATGCTAGTTGAACATCACCGAACCAACGGGAAGAACAGTATCAAAGATTTTGTGACTCCAACAATCATGTCAGACGATGACCGCATGGACGCCTTAGCAATCACTGCAGTCTGCCTGCGTGTCGCACTGGCGGTGGATCTTAGGTTCGTACTCAACCCTACCTTGAGTATAATTTACAATTGATCATGGCTTGGTAAACTGACTATCTTACATAGTCACAGATACATACCCCTCAATGCTCAAGAAATTGTGGTGCTAGAAGAAGTCCAGCGTCAGCGCGTGGCTGGAATGCCAGAATGCGATTGCTCTAATTGTCGACCAGCAGAAGGTGAAGCTCTATGGCTAGCGCAACCTGCGTTGACCACCGAAAACTTCGATGACGCACTGAAGATGAGTGAGGAAGGACTTATGGATCTGCTAGCCTCCCTGCCTGACGCTCCCCTCGCACCTACGGTCGAATCGACACCTGTGGCATTCCTCTGTGGGCCTGATGACCCAATACTGAAATCCAATGTCCTGGAGAGCCTCGTTACCCGTTTGGATCTAGCGTTTACAGAGTTCTTCACGAGTAAATTCCCCAAGCCCTGGGACTTAGGACCGGAGGACTACTTCGGAAGAGACCTCGCCTGGGACTTAGCCAAGAACATCGACCTGTTCTCTAAACCATGCGATTTGGGATTGGTCTTAGCTAGTGAATCGACCCCGGGCCAATTTGCGTGCTTGTTCGACACGTTCCTGAAGTGGCAACTCGAGCTGGACACATCTTCTGCTATGGATGAAGCCGTTCAGCGAAGACACACTTCCAACCGACCAAACGGACCGGGCAAAGCGGCCCAGTCAACTGAGGGAGCTAGCCTTGCCAAAACACGCGCGGACGCCGCGAAAGCCCCGGCAAAAAAAACTCGCAAGGCCGAGCAGGACCGAATTAGACAGGCAAAGATGGAGGAAAAGCTTCAAAAGTTACAGCAGAAAGAAAGGTTGGAAGCTCAGAAAAAAGCGACGAAGGATGCGGCGACGGCAGAACGTCAGCGGCGACTGGAACTGCAGGCTGCGGCTCGCGCGGCTGTTGGTGCCACCAATGTGCGAGCGACCAGTCATGGCTCAAAGCGAATCGGCGTAGGTCACCCAGCCGAAGTGGATCCGAAACGAAGGTCATCAACATCGGCAGTGAGTTGATTTGGCTTATGACAATGACACTCATGATTTGATCATTTTCCCTTTGGTTACAATGCAGAATTTCACACCTCATCAGGGCACTCCTCCTGTTCAAACGACGACATCACATTCGCCAACCCCCATTGAAACCGGGATGATCGACCCGCGATTGTGTCAGCTCTGATCAACTTGATCATAGCGCGAAGGCCTGTGCGCCACACGTTAGTGACTGGGACAGGAGGACGGGAGGTGTGATCTCCCAACAAATGCTTGTTGGCATACGTCAAGAAAGACTCTATCGAAGAATCCGTAATGATGTTGAGGTTATTTTGGTAAATGATCTTGTGACCCGACAAGGCTTTGAGCAACTTCATTAGCTTCCTTAACTGTAGTCGTGATCAAGTTAATGTAACCCCTTTTGAAATATATAATCATTATGTGCTTACCAATGGGATGTTATTGGAAATACGATACATGAGCGCCTCAATGTCGGTACCATGTCCCTGATCACACAGCGGTTCGAAGTCACGTGCATATTCGAAAAGCAATAGAACCAAAGCGCAAGTCACTCACCGTGTTGCCAAAGACCTGCTTTAACCAGAAAATGTTCACCTCTAGGAACTCGTCTAAGGCCAACCAATGGGCATCTCTATCGTTGAAGGGCAGGAGAAGTGAATGTTTTATAGCATGTGACAGGCTTGGAGGTAAGTCCTCCTCCAAAAGTAAAACCATGCGCGGGATGTGCCTGGCGTAGTGCGATAGGCCTTGAAGTCCTTGGGCCATTATGGCCCATCGCTTCCACATCGCGATCACTCGCCCAATGTCTCCGGCGCGACTGGCGTCGTGTCCTTCAACTACGGTCGCGAAATCACGCAATCTTAACAACAAGTTGTATCGAGTGTGATCACACTCAGTCCTGGCATGTTCTAAAGCCGAAACGTCAAAATAGTCACTCCAAACTAGGTCCAAAAGGTTTTCGACGTCGGAGGTTTTGGTCAAGTCGAGCTGTTTGTTAGACTTGATGACCTGGCTGCCGTGGCCTGGGCCAATGAGATAAGTCCCAACATCGTTAAGCATAACGCGGGAATAAACTGACGTGATAATAAAGAGTAGGTTTGCCTTATGGACCATCTGCATGGAACGCATGATGGCATTGAAACTTTGCGCCGCCTCTGGTTTTTTATATTCGCCCCCAATGGCAAATGAAGACCTCCATGTGCCGGTATCATTGCCGTTGTCGGCATTCCCCCAATGGAGAGACCATATTGCTTTGGAAAAGTTCCAAGTGGTGTGGGCCCCTCCGAAAACCGAAAGGACCCACTCTAATCCTTCCATTCCATTGACGGGAGGGAATCGCTTGACCCTGAGACTTTCGAGGAGTTGGTTTGACCCGACGTCACCAGCGGCAACCAAAAGCTCTTCAGCATATTTTTTGGGATTTACCCCTATCTGTGTTAGGACTTCGTCGATCACACAAGAGACCCCCTCTGCGGATGAATCAGGAGCGTCCATCATTCGTAAGAAATGAATGTTTGGACGGTGCATTTGGATCGGATCTATTGGCGGTGGTTTCGTCTTGATAGGTGCCAGTTGCGCGCGCTCAGGAGCCCCTGGTATGTGTTTCACGTATTCTTTCAATACTTTGGCAAGCTGACACTTGATGACCTTATTCCAGTGGCAGCTCTCCGACGGAGTCGGAGTGAACAATGAGAGACCGACCCCTTTACGATTTGCCTTGGCCATCTAGTCCAAAAAGCCAGCAAGGCTCGCGGCTTCTTGGGTACAGCTCTCCTGCAAACACGACCGGATCACGAAGTAGAAACCCCATGTGCCATGGAAGAGGCGAGATGAGGTTTCAATCCGGGTGTTATGAATTCGCAATTGGATGTCGATGTTGTCATAGCACAAGAGCGGCATTAATTTATGATTTACTTTAAACAGTTCCATCATACGTTTTTCTTGTAAACAGCTAAGGTGATCTAACGCCTTGAGGATCGAAGGCCTGGAAATCGTCATACTGAAAGCTTGGAGCCACTCGTTTACGCGACATGAAACTCCGCCGGCCAACGTCATCAATCCATTCGCGAGCGGGATTGCATTACACCGGCGGTTACATGCATTTGCAATCATAGCACAAATCATGATGGGGATCTACCCGCGGAACGAAACGCACAATTATCAATGAGGTCTGTGTTTGATTCAGCATAGCCTGCCAGGCTCTGTATAGGGTTATGATTTGCTCACCGTGTCCAGTTTGTGGGCAGCTTGTTCCGCCGGAGTCGGGTTTAGAAAAACCAGGTTCTCCAACGACATAATGGCAGCATCATCCACAGTATCCAGGATTGGATCGCTTCCGTCACGAGCCATCAAAGATTCGCTAGAAGCCTCAGGACCTCTTTCCGCGGGAAGGTTCGATTCATCATCTTCAATATGATCAGTGTCTGGTTTCTTCAGACCAACCGTGAGCTTTTGGTGGATGAGTGAATGAAGAAAGCTCATTCCGGTCGTGATTTGTTCTTTGCGGTGCCTTTCGTCGCTCTTGCTAAAGAAATCTGGGGTCACACGATTGGAGCTGACATACGCTCCAGCCGGATAATGCCCTCGTGGTGGTTCCTGACGATTCACGATTTCGGAGGCCTGGAAACCATGGCACGCTTAGTGACGAAGCTTCGAAGTTTAGAGGAGGTCACTCACCTCCTCCAAAATAAGTTTTTCCCAGTCGGATTGGCCTTTGGTACACGAGGACGCCAATTTCCCTAGATTCTTCACGATGGACCGTGTCGATTTGGCACCTAGCCCTCCTTTCATCAGGCGTCTACGGAAGACCAAATCCGGATGAGGCGAAGAGAAAAAGGTAACCATGAATTCTTTTGGCGAGAACTCTAGCTGCGTCAGATGTTCACATATCTTCAGGCAATGCTGCACAGTCATTGGAATAGCGGCAGGCATGCTTTCCGAAGGATGTGGCCGTCACACAGCAGAAATAAATGCCAAATTTATTTCTGGTGCGCATTGTGAAGTGAGTGTGTGACCTCTTATCATCCTAACCACCCGCTGGTGGAACACGCCTGTACCGTGTTGCCCACTGGTGATTGATATCACCCTTGCACATGACAAATCTCAAGTCTTGTCACGATTATAGCCAATCGTGCAAACTAACCTCCCTTTGGCCCAGTTGAAAAGCTGCACTGGCGCCGGTGCCATTGATAGTCACAATCAAAAGACCTGCTAACCTGTCATATTTTGAAACAGTTCTTTTGATCGTGACTAGTAGGCATCCGGTCTTTCACTATAGTCCATAGTTCCATCAAGATATCTCTATGCCAAATATCCCAAATTGGGACATAGTCAAACAATGACCCGGTGGACTCTGGTACCCAATCTACTCCCAACCGAGCTTCCGGTCGCGCTAAATGTCTTACCCAAGTGTTAGAGTCATACGCCCTCCCTCCACCTGAGCGCGTTCGCAATCGGCAACGTGTTTCATCCTATGACCAACTGGCATAGTCGAATCAATACGGATGTGGTTTTTGGATTGGTAAAGCAAGCGTCCCCCAATGTTAGATGCTTGTCCACATGGGGGGGCCACACTTGTCCGTGTTCCGGAACCGCGGATGGCAGTATATATAAATATAACTATCAGGTCACTGTTTACGAGGGAATCAACTCGTAACAGTCGTATTCCCTCAGCATGGATCCACCAAACGAACAAAACCATATCGACGGTGTTCCAGAAGCTCAGACTGCTCTTTCCAACATCATAGGGGCCATTCAAGCAGAAGGCTTGTCTGTGTCCGCATTCCTTTTTTTGCTCCATTCATCATCACCGCGGCCTCCGAACCTGGAACCACCTTCACTCGTGGATAGAACTTATCACACTTTTCATTTCATGCAAATCCAACAAATCTCTGTGTTCCAGTTTCTTAATTGTTTACTCGACCTTACCAATCAAGAGTTCATTGCCCATCGGCAACAATGGAGGGGGTTAGACGGAGAGTCCCAAACGAACATTCGCATGGTTTTCAACCGTATTAAAAGACTATTATACACCGATAACAGAGGCCGCCAATATTGGACGGAGTATATACAAGGGCAGGTCGGTACTCATCTCACTATGATCATTATACTCAGCACTGATATTCGATATACTCTGCTTATACTAGATGCATGCTCTGGGACTCTACAATGCTCCTTTTTGATAGGTGGCGCTGACCGAGTCAGTCAAACTCACGTAAGCTTCCCTTGGTTTTGCGCCTGGAATGTCCATCGCAAACTTAGTCACACAATCTATCATCTGGTCCGTAGGTTGGGGATATGAGTTGATTATGCAGGGAGGTCAAGGTTGGCAGAGAATGCATTATCTTTAAGACACTTGCTAAGTGCAAAGTACAGCTATTCTAGAAAGTCGTGTCATGGTGGCACTTTTCTTGGGTTTTTCCCCCCCAGATACAGCCCCAATACAGGTGACGCGGAGCGCAGCATAGCTCGAGTGGGCAGTCTGAGGTATTGATCCGGCTTGATCCAAAGCCATCATGTACCAATCTGGTGGCTTTGTTTGTCGGTGTGTGCTCCCCCAGTTCAATGACCCAATGCCTAGCTCAGCTACCCTCGATCCAATCTCAGCCAGCAACACCTCAACCGCCTACCAAAAATTGGAACGCCGGTCGGCGTCTCAATGTTTGGTCTCCATTTGAACCACCCACCGCCTGGAAAGAAAAAGAACCATTGGCCAACTTCAACCACCGGCAGGCCGCCCCCAAACACCTATAAAATGACGACCTCCCTCACCCGTTCCCCCTCTAATAAGCCAAAGAACGTCCCAATCAACGTCAAAAAAACAAGCTCGTTTTCAATCACTACTCGCAGCATGGTCAACAACAAGAATTCTCACATACCTTCGTTTGAGTTCACTTCGGTTTCGCATTTCTTTTTCCTCTTCAATCGTGAAAGCCCTCTGACGACATGGATTGATTCCCTTCAGGTCCGATGCCCGAATCGATGGCATATCCCGTACTCTACGGACTCGCACGTATTCACAAGCCCTCATGGGACACAGTGTTGGTGTACCTTGGTAAGTCTGCTATCGTTCGGTCGGACCAACGGAAAGAAACCAGGCTGATGTTACCTGGCTCCCTCAAGGACCGGTGGCGGATCACTGCTTACGTCGCCTGTGAAGGATCCCATCAAACACTCTGTTCACGCGGAATCATTACTTACGCCGAGTTTGATAGCCAAGTGGAATGATGCTCCACCTCCACCCTCTGTCCTCAGCTCACAATCGTCCTCGCTTTCCGCCATCAACCCCCACATAAACCCTTTGATCTTCAACTCGCCTCAATTGACCCCAAACCCTTCACCATCCACTGTCTACTCTACCCTGTCGACCGCTGCTACACCGATCTCCAAAACAAGAGCCTCGAACAAGAGGCCAGCCACTTTGGCTGCCTTGGACACTGCAGAGAGGGATGAAGACGATGGTCAGTCATTTTTCTCTCCATCGCTTTGTCTACTCTATCCAACTTGAAAGCGTGACACTTACCCAATTCTCTTTGTAGAACCTGTCGATTTTTTTGGCAGTGGCTCAGTCGCCAAAGTTGCTCCAACTGGACCTGCGAATGTGACCCACGATGGTCCGGATGAAGCTGAAGGTCCGTATCTTTCCTCTCTATCGGGAATACAGAGGTAGGTCTTCAACTTACCTTTGGTTCATCTGTAGACCTACCTCTAGATTGTTTTGACCCGCACACCACTACCGAAAAAGCCTCAAAATCCATGAGTAACCCAGACGCCGGCGACGTATTCGATTCGACTGGCGAGACAGCTCGTACATTTCAAGTATCATTTAATTTTTGGCAACTTGTAGTCCCCCCCGACGCCGCGCCTTCTAACAGCAAAAAAAGTAAGAAAACACCCGGTGCACGAACTAGTCGGAACAAGGCACCAGTTACCAAGTACGAGAATTACTGCCCCAAGGTCGCCAATAAACTTGTGCTTTTACACCAAAACTTCCCCTTTGTCATATTCAAACTCAAATTATTTCAAACCTGCGACAAAAATCGCCCCTGGGTCTCTGAGGCTCTTAAATCGGCGTGGTATGACCCTGACCAGACCGTGGAGATTCAAGGTTTCATCCACGGGTCACGTCAACATAAGGCCATCAAAATGGCCCTTGAAGATGAAGATTCTTTCAGGGAGTTCATGGGCCTTTGCCAGTTGGTTCCTGCAAGCACGGTCATGGGGTGCAAAATTTTCCACAAAAATCCGAAGCTAACCGCCAACGCTAATCGCAACTTGGAACTCGCGCGCCAAAGGAACACACCTAAGGCTCCTTCGTCGGATTCGGAGGCTCACCCCGAATCGGACGACTCTGTAGGTGTAAGTCACCTTCCTCCTAGTGTTTCACGCACTGCTCGACCAACACTGATATATCCCTTTGGCCTATTAGTCTGGCATTTTATCCCTCGGCGAACGTTATAACAAGAAGTTGTGGACGCGATTCTCCAAAGACTTCAAGGCCGGCGAAAACATTGGCCGACTTATCAATCCCAAAGACCATGGCCTTTGCATGCTTCTCAACACTGCGCGTATTCGCACATGGGCAAATGATTGGGTAAGTCATTATGCTTCTGACATCCTCATTTTTTCGTCTTGAATTTGATACTCATACGTCTCCATCTCTGTTTCACAGGCTGACGATGTACCCGGGGTAGACGAAGTTAACCCGCCGACCAAACGCCCGGAATTTCGTTGGTTTCCTGTTGCTGACTACGAGAAGGAGAAGAACGTTCTTCTTGGCTTATCTGTTACACCTCAGGCCACACCCACTTCCGGAGCTACTGTAGTCCACCACAACTATTATGGACAACCCTTTCCTTCAGCCGCTTTTCCCTCTCCAACCAATCAGCCCATTCCACCGCTGGGGACTGGCCAGCCTGGACCTCCACCATCTGGACCGACTTATCCACAAACCCCGTCTGAGGCCCTTCGGTTATCCCCGCCCCCAGTGATACCAGAGTTCGAAGCGTTTCTCATCTTCGCGGGCATCGAGGCCAACATGAAGAAGACTCGCAAGATTTTATCTAATGAAGGTATTGACTCGTTTAGAAGGCTTTTGGACCGCTCAACTTACAATTTGGATAGCTTTCGAAGCATGGGAATACCCTTCGCTCACGCCGATGACCTTCACAAGGCTGTTCCAAAGTTTAACCATCATCTCAAATCGCTTTGAGTTTCGCCTCGGTAATCATTGCTCAAAGGTCATGTTCTATGTCTGTTCACGTTACTCAATGGTTCTATGTGTATCAAAAATTATCAATGTTTGATCAAGGTTCAGAACTACGGTCTCTCTGGAAATGTTATGTTTTCTTATTCTTTTCCCCTTGGTGCTGTGTTACAATGTGCGATTCAATGTTAGAGTCGATTGTTATGACTCATCCTTTTGTTGGACGCTCTCGGCCCATTTGTGTTTGAGCGTTTTGATGCAATCATGAGTCTTAAGTGATTACCGGTCATTTCACACTTTTATGCCCACAATGACATGTGCCCCTTAACCTTGTGTCCTGTTACGTTTCTGGCCAGACTGCTACCCCAAAAATGTTCACCTCTCTATCGCAGCGGATGATAGAGAAGGAGTAATGAGGGCCCAACTTGTTCACCAATCGATGTAACGAGAACACGTCTCGTTACATCGATTTCTTGTTCGCACAACTCAAAAGGCATTGATGATAAGATGTAACGAGAACGAGTCTCGTTACATCGATTTCTTGCTCGCACAAGTCACAAGGCATTGATGATTAAAAAACCATTTGTATAAGGTCAAAATTATCGGGGTGAGGTGATTGGAATCAATCAGAGATATTTTTTGAATCAATTGAACATTAAATCAAAACTAATCAAAGTCATTGTGACTACAAGCTACTTGCTACTTATCGTTCATCTACAATCGCTAATAGACGTCTAAACCCAATAGCCGCATACAGCATACAATTTGTGCATGAGTGCGCCTGAGAACAAGTCCCATGTGACATCCATGATTACATCCATCTTCTCGTCCGTCGCGGTTTGGATGAGTACTTGGGTACGTCGAAAGTAGGATTTGAGGACACTAAATGCCTTCTCAATCGGATTCAGATCGGGTGAGTAAGGTGGGAGATACAATAATCGGATTCCTCTCTCTGACGCAAGTTCTTCAATACGGCCCCCGTGGTGGATTCTAGCATTGTCCATTACTAAGACGGAGTTGACCTCAGGGTATGGGTTCATCATCGGAAACTATGGGGGTCACCAGTCAATATCATCAAGATGAGAGTCAAAGAAAGGGAAAATGAGCTTACCAAACAATGTTTGAGGAAGCCCTCAAAATCTCGTCGCAGATAACTTCCTTCTTGGCAGTCCAGCGCTAATACACCACCTTTGAAAATAGCTGGTAGAAGAGAAAACCTTTTGCCACCACGGCTCCAAGGTATTTGGGTAGTCCGTTCCCCTCGTCTAGCGCGACCAAACTGCCTGCCAAGATGCCTCTCTTGAACTGAGCACTCGTCTGGATTGGACAAGGTAAAAGTTAGTGATGCAGTCACAATCTGCCAGGCGGAAGGAATGACGGACCTAGGAAAACGAGCATGTTGGGGTTCAACGCTCCAACTGCGTGTAGATACCGCGCTCTCTTCGAAGGGCTCTGGTTAGGGTGCACAGTGCAGGCTTTCTTGAGGGTGAGGTGTAGTCGATCCTTCAGATTGCTCGCAATGGTTTGTAACGAGACCCATTCGCCGGTACGTCGATAAACTGCGTGGCGATACTCGTCCAAGTACAGAGCAGGATTACCGGCCAGTAACTCCAACATGAAATCCCTGTCTTTGTCGTTCAGAGCCGTCTTTCTTCCGATTTGTTCGTATTCTTCAGGATTGCGAATTACCGCATAGGTTCGTCGGTATAGCGAGTGCCAACGTGATATCGTTCGCCGGCTGACGGGCGAGATCAAGATCCGCCGGACTTGATCGATGGTTTTGCCTGCGCGGAGGTGCTGAACCGCCAGCACCTTGAGACTAACTTGATATGGACCCCGTTGTTGCCCTCGCATGCCTAGAAGGGGGATTTGGAAGAGTCAGAATGATGGTTTCACCGAACAAAAGCGAAACGAACAAACCGTTGAAGAGGTGGTGTGACAAACTGTTGGGGCGGAAAATTTTTCGATGCGGCGAAAAAAAAATTCTCAATGCGACAAAAAATTTTTCTCAATGGGTTGTTTGGGCCCGATGGGCTGTGTCAGGGTTTGGGGGTCACGGGTTGTTCAGGCCCGCTGCGTTCCGCAGCGCCTGTATCTGCCTGTGGCGCTGGGGGAAAAACCCAAGAAAAGTGCCACCATGACACGACTTTCTAGAATAGCTGTACTTTTTCATCTTGGGTCTTTTTGCTTTGGCCGAAATGTTTATGACGCGCAGCATGAGGGATTCTACCTCGCCCTTTGGCCCCGAGTTAGTGCCAAAATCGAAAAGTTGTAATATCTTGAAAACCACTGCACATTGTGAGAAGCCGAGAGCGGCATATTGGAGATGGTTATCTTGCGCTTGTTTGCTATAAGGGTGCCAAACCGCCTTGATTAGCGAGGATCGTGAGTATGAGGATTGGCAGTTTTTTGAGAAATGCCCCGGCAGATCTCACGCCATTTTTTTGACATTAGATGTAAGTCCCTCGCTGGAGTTGGTGGTTAGGTCCAGCTTGGGACTTAGTTAAGTTTGTCCTCCTTGAGTTTTTACTACAGTCTTGGGCGCCTGACTTGCCAAGTTCACAAAAAAATCTCATATTTGATCTCATTACGTGCTCAGAAGCTGAGAGTATTTGATCTCAGAAATCCAATTGTGTTTTCTAACAAGAAGCCATCTCAACAAATTTGTGTTGAAGTCTTCAGTTGAATTTCTTAAATTTCCAATGAGCATTTCAGGCTACATGGGTTTAGAGAGGTGTACCGCATACATACATGATACTCGGACAGTCGGGTAAACTCAGTTCAACTTGGATTGGATCGGTTCGGCGGGACTGCCCTCACTCTGCCAGATTTAACCACTTCATTGCCTATTGACTCATCAACGATAACTCGCTCGATCGATCATATTCCGAATACTAAAATCAGAAAAGACTCTGTCGAGCGCAATCAACAAATATAATTCAACTTTCATCAAGATGTCAGACATTGGTTTCGCTTCCCAGGAGGATATGAAGAAGGCCAGGTTACCTTTAGGGTGAGGATCATGTCTTTAAACTCGATGTTTCTCATACATGTCTGCTTTGGATAAATGTCACTTTATGGATTCAAGAGCCATTCGCAACACTACGCAAACCTTTTTGGACTGACATTTCTGAATCTTTCTATAGGTATCGGGACGGTTGCGCCAAGTCAGTTATTCGAGCCTGATGACTTTGAGCTATTCCAAAACTATCACGGCTGACGAAGACCTCCCGAATCCTCAAATCCACGGCTCTAGTTACTTGATCACTCTTAATAAATGCAGACATAAGGAATACTTTATGCCATGGAAATGTGGCGATGAAAGGTCTGTTTCTCGTTAGAATGATCAGAATCAGCTAATCCATTGGCGAGAACGTCTTGTTCTGATAAACTTCCTTTCGGTGATGGACACGATTACAGGCACGCCTACGAGCATTGTCAATATAAAGAGTATGTTTTGAGTTTCTTCGGCTTTCTTCAGTTGTGAGATGAGTGTGTTATGTACTGACGGATGATATCTCCTATTTCGTCTTTTGAACTCATCTCCATTTATGACTTCAGCTACGTGCAAAGAATGAAGAAAATGCAAGAGCAGATACAGGCAGCAAAGAATGAAGCTGCTTAGACACGATTGGCTACCGGCCAAGCGAAGTGAGAGGGGGTCGGTGGGCGATATTACCCATCGATAGAATGGGATTGTATAGCTTGAGGCATCCCCCCGATCCTGCAGGTTTATCAACATATGAGGTTAGCTCTACATCGAAAACTTGCATATCCAGCCTATCCTTGTATATGTAAACCAGGATCCAAAGGTTCGAAAACCCATCGCAGGGCTCATAACTCAGATGCTTAAGTTATGGGACCAGTCAGGCCGGTTCGCCACATCATATTTTGCTCTCAGCTTAATAAGACTTGAATGATGCTGCCTTGTACCTCAATGTGATAAATACGGTGCCCATCCTCACTGTCCGGTTGACTAGATTGCACATTGCCACATGTGCTATGAACACATCACTGACATCTGTATAGGCCTGTATACTGTCTATAATTGCAACTTGTTCAACTTTTGAGAGTGATTAGGTTCAGACCACAACTAGTCAAGAACAAAACATATCATACACCAATGAGTATATTACAACATACGACGTGTATCGTCCATTTTTGAAATTATGAGGACATCTATTAAATACTGGGATATAGTACAAACCCATCAGGTTGATTATTGATGAGCTCTTTGACAAGCTTTGGCTTTGTACTTGAAAAGGATCCAAGGTGTGGGAAGGATAAAAACGAGCAAAATGACAGGAATGAATTTTTCAAGCTTAGTAGAGTGTTGCATTGGTTTTGTTAAATGGACCGCAATTGGGATCACGAAGCTTGCTAGTCTTCTGAAAGAACTTGAAACAACCAAAGCAGATGCTGCTTGTTCTTTGTGTTTCTACAAAATCTCCACAATCTGTTAATATTGTGCTGTTGACGATATACCTCAAGATTTGAATCATGAGAGGCTACTTACATCAATAACATACGTTGTAGCCTTTCGGCCGGCCAATGTCATTGCCGCACCAATGAAGAAGAGGGCAACGTCCTGTTAGACATGAAGCAAAGTAAGCCAAGGTACTTGATGATATAAAATCGAAGCTTCAGAGATACTAACAAAGACCGCCGAGCAAGCATGATACTGCCTGGCTAGAGCTGAGATTGGTCAAAGAATCAGCAGGATCAGCTAAAATATCGATCTTTAGAAGGGTCAGCCACTAAGTTTTACCAAAGGTTACACTTCCTATCGCTAGGACAAAAGTCCCTGGAATCATACATCGTAACTTATATTCCAGTCTATCATCCGGATGAGGGTTTTTGATATGCAACCTATCACACATAGTTGATAGGCAGCGTGTGTTCATCTTACTTGCTAGACAGGCTCCAAATATTATAGAAAGGCAATGTAAACCGCTCATCTTCATACTCTGCTTTTGATCATATCGAAAGATGTGAACTAAAGAGCATTGAGTTATGCAAAAGATTGTGTAAATGAAACTGAATAGCCATTGAAGTCTTGTGAGCTCTTGGATCTTGGTGATTTTCGAAAAGTACGATTTCATTGAGGAATAGTTTATAGCATGAACAGGAAGAATCTTACGATAGTTGAAGACCTATAACTATAGCCATAGGCTCCTTCCACGCAATGTGTATTGGTCGAATAAGTGCACGCAAAGCGTCTTGTAATGCGCTAGAATGAAAAGTCATTTCCTTAGTCAACTATTGCCAAGAGTCTTTTTGGAAAAATCCAGAGGAGGGTAACTTGGACAGATGAAAACATGCGAGTTTTTGGACTGCACTTACCATGGATCCAAAAGACTAGGTCCTTGGGAAGGGGCGATGGAAAGCGGTTGTTCTTCGAGCCTTGAAGGCGAGATTGAAGGTGGTCGTTCCTCGAGAGCTTGTAGCACGTTACTCATTATCTCTAACACACCTTCCTCAGGCTGCAAAGAATTTACCTCTTTGAGGTTTTCTAGAGGATAAGCTGATGTGTGACGAGATTCAAATAACACGGTCAAAAGATTTTCAGTCTAGTCGCACATTTCAGCAGAGTGTGTGGTATATGACTAACTCTCGGGCATAAACATCGACATCACAAACATCGAAGCACAACCGACGGCGCTCGTCAACCAGAAGAACCTTTTCCAAGAGAGTATCTCAAGAGTTAAGCAGCCTGAGAGTTCAATTGTGATATAAAATGAAAGATAAAAAGACGTAAGTCATAATAAAATCATCAATGGAGGATCTTTGAAGCTGAAAATCATTCACCAATCATAGTACCGATACAAGGTCCAATGGTAGGAGCCAGTGAGCATAAACTTAATGGCCGTCCTCTTTTCTTTCCCCAGATTTCCGCCAGAACCACTTGACTGAGTCCTGTAGGAGCACCTGCGAAGATCCCACAGAAAAGTCTCATGGAAGCCAATTGACAATGGGTTCGCGCAAATCCACAAGCAAAATTGAAAACTAAAAACAATCCACATCCCAGCCTTATCATAGGTGCCCTACCATATACTTCTGATGCTGGCGCAAAAAAGAATGCACCCAACATGGCTGAAAGATTTGGAAGTTGGTTTTGAATAATGAAGATCATATCAACATGCAAGACCCCTCATAAAGCATTACTTGACAACAGAAATCGTCAAAAGAAACTTCACTAACTTCCTAAATTGTAAATATAGATTGAAACTCCCGGGCAACTCTTCCACGGAGTCTCCAGTGCAGATCTCAGTTCACTAGTGTATATGTTTGCCATGCTGGCAAATATATTGAGGCCTGATTGTTCACGAGGAGATTGGAGAGATGGCATCCTTAATATCAACATCAATCAACCGAATCACAGAACAGAAACCTGGACAAACTGTATACTATAGAAAGAACTACGATTGGGATGAGATTTATGTTAGCATGGGTTTTACAGCGTGAGTAGGCTGATGAATAAAAGTCGAGCAAGACTATAAGGTAAAAATTACGAACCCATAAAAGTGACAAGCCACTTGTAATCGCAGGTCCATCTGTCACTGACACCAAGCACGTCCATTTTCCCTTTTTCCTGGTTGACATCTTTTGGTTCGCTTCCGGACCTCTTCTCTTCCACTTCATTTCTGTGTTCCAACGGAATCCTGAGCCGATTGAGATCGTAGATGGTCTTTGTAACGTGGGCATAATATGTCATGGGCCTGAAATTCAAGTAAACATGTGAGATCCGATAGTTTGATATATGGATAGTTGGCGGAGGTTCCAGAGTAGCCACTGCTGTCTTGATATCCTCTGCTGAATCCTGAACTGTATTCTCAGGTGAAACCTGACCTGCTTCCAGAGGTGGATCCATGGAGAACAGTAAGAAGATAAGTTACTCCCCTTGATCATTAGTTAGTAACTCAAGAAAAACGTGTTAGCATCGATCAGGATCAATCTTAAGCTTTTTGCCACTGTGACAATGCAGTATTTCTACTCTTTGCTATATTCCCGCAGGGCTCGTGAGTAGGCAATTCAGCTACGGACCAAGAAAAGGACGAGGTTTTTTTTAAACGGTTTGGTAGATCATTGACTTTGCATCTATAAAGGGTACGAGAATCAGAAGTTGAATCTTTGAATCAAAAAAAGTATTATACTTGGCATTATAGAGATATTTTTTTGTAACTTGATAATCAAGAATAGGTATGATCATCTGAAGAATTCAGTAAATGCAACAACACCATCTCCTAGAACGCAGACATGCACAGGCGAGTATTCATTCGGCTGGACAAACTTTCAACTTTCGAACACATCGACACTCTGAGTATGAGATATACGTGTGCCGAATACATATTGCGTTTTAGGAACAAGTCGTCGATGTGACTCAGCTAGGGTTAACCTATGGCCGGGCATTGCTTGTGACATTCTCATTTTCAGCAGTCAGCTTACTTGTGACGAAATAAAGCGTCGAACTACTACGCAGACGATCTGAAGCAGCACAGTCTTTTCCAGCTGACTGTGACTTGGGTACTCGATTCCAATCAGGCTGAGCCATAGGGAAATCTAAGTTGAACACGCATCGGGCAATTCGACCGATTAATTTTGGATGCATCAGCTGATGTACCATTAGATGATTTCGTTACTCACATCCTCACCCTCCTCGAGGCTTAACAAACGACCAAGAAAATGGCATTGTTGCAACACCCTAGGAAACCTCAACCAACCCAGATATTCGATTGTAATGTATGCAATCAAGTTTCAAAACATGATGAATGGTCGAGAAAGTGAAAGACCAAAGCCCTACGCATGATCAAGCTGTCATACTATTTCATGTCCAACCACCGTTGAACCAGTGTGAACCACGCAAGCATCCATCCCTCGTTTCACCTTTTTGGAAAGAAATGAGAATGCAAGGAACGCGAACTAGCGAGGTGATTTAGATACATAACATACACATGTAATCCAATAAGCCATAAAGTCACCACTCACATCCAAGACCAAATTCTTGCCCTCCATTCGACCGTCCGATGATGTTCTCAATCCTTGACCAACCTAAATCTAAGACCTATAAGCTGACAATTACCTAGGAATATCTACATCCATCTCACCTGTATACCTAAAAAATTCTTGTTTTACGGTTACCTACACATCCGAGTCTAAACCCAAAAAGATGATGTTTATTTGATTTATTTATTCATCAGATATAATTCGTATACTCATAACCAAGTCATATTTCATTAACCAACTTGGATTTATTCAAGTACATCATAAATCATAAATCATAAATCATTACTCAGTAATCATATATCACAAAATAAATAAAAGTAATAAAAACATCAAAAAGTTGAAAAAAATCGTTTAAAATCCAAAATAGTTCATCCAATTTTCATACACATGTCATACATTTTTTTTCTCTTTTTCTCTTTTTCTCTTTTTCTCTTTTCTTTCATTCAAACAAGTTCATCTTTCAAAAAAAACATACACACATTTTTCACAAGTAAATATATCAAAAAACTGAATCAGAAAGAAAAAACAACAACATTACAACGAAGAGAAATCTTTTTAAAAAATCAATCAAACCAAACCAATCCAAATCAAGAAGAATTTCAAGAAATTTGCATGATTTTTGAACTTTTTCGGATTTCAAAAAGAATGAGATTAAGGATTATTTTGATTTGAATTTAAATTCCCACTTGAATTTCCATTCCCAATCCCGTTCCCAGTAGCATCAGTAACCATCAAATCCGCATTCGCATCCGCATTCCCACTCCCACTCCCACTAGCCAAACCAACCCTACCATCCCTCTGGGTATCATCCAAATACTTTGAATAAACCCCACTCCAAAGCTCAGTAGAAAGGATCCCGATCAATTCATAAACGACCATCAACTGAAAGCCAGCATAAACTTCCTTAGCTTCTTCTTCACCTGATTGTAATCGAATAGCCGTCAAGGTCGTCTTAGCTTTCCTTATCCTTTGGTATTCTATCGAACTTGGGTCTTGGATAGATGATAAGTTCATCCCACTGCTTTGGTGTAGAACTGTTTGGAGTGGATGGACGGGTTGGGATTGGGTGGGGAGAACTTGTTGGGAACTTGAGGCTTGTGGTTGAGGTCTTGTGGGAGTCGCTTCAATAATAGCTACCAAAAAAGAAACCTCAACTTAGAAAAAAGTAACAGAAAGGTTCAAGGAATGTTCATACTGACTAGGTGGAACACTTTGGACCTCGAATCCACTTTCTTGATTCGAATCAGATGGTCGAAGTCGGATGGGTGGACCAAGTCGAAGTGGTTCTTGTCGACTTAAATTGTTTCGTGTTTGTTGTTGTTGTTGTAATTGTTGTTGATGATGGTTCATGGGGATCGGGGGTGAGATTGATTCACATTGTGATAAGTTGTATTCGGTTAATGGGTCACCTCTGTTTAATGATGGAGCAAATCCCTGTAAGAAAACAAAAACCAAGTAGTTAAAAATCAATCGTGTATTAACCCAATTGTGATTTTGTTTTTATGATAATGGATGATTCTGTTTATGAGAATGATGTTATGTAGGAAGATACTCACGATCTGATTATCAGGTAAACGATGAACATCACCCGACCCCAAACCAAGACCGACCGAGTACCTAGCCGGTTCTTTCCTTCCCATCAACTCTTTAGCCATCCTAGTAGCCGTTCCCGTAGCCGCGACCAAGTTCTCAATCAACCTCATCTGTTCAGTCGTTCCTTTCTTCTGACCCGAAGCCTTTTCATAATCTCTTAAAAGTTGAATCGGAACTCTTGCTCTCATCAAAGGATCCGACATAATTCCTTCAAAGATAGAGACTGTATGATTCGGATCATCTTCCTTTGAACTGTTTACTAAGGATTGAGTGATCGTACGGATGGCTGATCTCATCGTTTGGAATTCTTCGTGATCGGGATTGGGTTGGATGGATTTGTTTAGATTGGATTGGTCATGAGTCATGGATTGGTGGACTGATGAACTTGAATTTGATGATTTGGTATTGTGAACTGAATTTGTCTTTTTTTTTTTCAAATCACATTAAGGAGAATTTTAACTATCAGTTTTGGTTTGGGTTTCGATTGGAATAGTCATGTTGAACTGACTGAATTAAGTTTAGATGGAGCAAATGAAGTAGAAAAATCGTAACACTATTACAAATCCCAAAATCAATCATCTTTCCTTTCAACTTTGTGATGATGGATGATTTTTTTTGGCTTCCAAATTTAAAAAGACTTACTAAAGTTGGATTGAACTGTGAAACTGGAATCGAACTTGAATCAAAGTTAAAACCGAACATCTATTGAAATCAAAAACATGATCAGTTTTCTTATAATTCTCATATATATATATATCAATCATGAATGATCACTAACTGATTTTTTCTTGTTGACTGTTTCATCCTATTAGAAGTAGAAATGATTAAGATTGACAATAAATAATGATCAAAAGAAATGAGCTCAACTTGATGATTTGAAGTTGGATTTGAATCTGAAGTTTTAAGTTCAGTTTCAGCTTGATGGTTAGTTTTAGTTATTTTTTTCTTTTTGTTTGGTTTTGAATGAATGATTGGTGAGTTTGATCTTTTTGATTTACGAGTTGAATGATTGGGTTGTAGATGAGTTTGATTTAAAAGACTTGCACCACGTCGAGTGACTACCATTTTAGATTTTTAAACCGAGTCTTATACAAATTATTAGAATCTGATAAAGTAAAGTGGATTGGTTGAGGAAACAAGAGATGATGAAGAGTGTTGAATTGAAAATAGAAAGTAATCAATCAACCTAATCAATCTAATCAAAATCAAAATCAAAATCAAAAGGAACTCTCTTTCTCATCGTTATGCATTCTATACATACACTTCAATCAATCTCACATCATATCACTATCGCACTATCATATCGAACGATATCCTAAACCAAACAACATCAAAGGATATCAGTAACTATCATCAAGTTTTAAAGTTTTACTTACCAAAAGAAAGAGTTCAAGGAAGAGGCTCACAGAGGCTACAATGCGCTACAAATTACATACAACATTCGACTTTAATGGGTTATAAGCATAAGTATCCTTATAACAAAGTCTATCAACCGTTTTCCAAAGAAAATCCACAATACAGCATCAAAATTTATCCATCACCAAACCATTCTCAGCAAAACCCAAGACCAATCTCATCTTCGACTCTTGATATATCAAGCTCTAATCAATCAAAAGCTCAACTCTAGAATCCAATTTCATTAAAAATAAAATATGCCAGCACGTGCAAGAAAAAGAGTCAGACGAAGGCGTCAAGTCAAAGATATTAGTGATAGCAGTAGTAGTAGTAGTAGTAGTAGTAGTTCAAGTGAATCAGATTCAAATGTAAGTCATCCAAACTATACCTTACATTCTTAATTTTTTGATCCATTCACTAAACCCCATCTTGGTTATTTTAATGTAGATTGAAGATACCCAAAAAAATATCCCAAACCCAGGCCCAGAATCAAGAACTCTTGCCTCTTCTTCTTCTTCTTCAAGTAGTAGTAGTAGTAGTAGTGAAGATGAAGAATTCAAATCAAAACATTTAAGACAATCAAATCTAATCTCAACCCAAACCAAAACTTCAACAAGTTCATCGGATTCAGATTCAGATTCAGATAATAGTCAATCCAAAACACCAGCCAAAAGAGGCAGACTAGCCAAAAAACAAAAACAAAAACTCACGAACCCAGAAGACCAGGTCAACACGACCAGCAAAGACCCAAAACCATTAACGAAACGAATCCCATCGCCAATCCCAAGTTCACCACCACCACCGATTTTCGAAACCCAAGACCTAGACCTGCTAATCCCATCCCAAGACATCCCACCTAAGTTCGACTTCATCCATCCCAAACCGTCTGAAACCCTTAGGATCCTAACCGCACAAACCAACGAATCCGAAACCGATTTCAATTCATGGTACCTTTCGAAAATGGTCGACAAGTTTGAAACCGAACTAGATATGATTCGTAATGAATTATCTTCTAAACCTTCTACTTCGATTCATCGATTTGATCTTTTGATTTCTGGATTGAATTCGGGTGTGGATGTTTTTAGGGATTTGGATGGTAGGGGATCGGGTTCGGAAACTCAGCAGAGTGAGATCGGATTGGTTTTGGAGACTTTGAAGGGTAGGAAAGAGCTCAGTGATCGGCAAGTTAAGTCGGATGGAATTGAAGATGTCGTGATGACAACTTGATAAAACGAAAAACAACCAGTTTTTTTATATCTCTTATCTTGAACTTTGATTTTTTTGGTTTTGGTGATTCGAGATCAACATAATTTTTTTGGATGATCTTCTTATAGTACACATAATTGAAACCAATCAATACTTCTCTTCTTTTTCATCCAAAGAGTAAAACCTCAAACTCTGTTTCAAAGAACAAGATTCAAAGAATCTACTCAAAATGATCTTTTTCTGGTCTAATCAACACACAACTCACAAATTAGTACCGCTTCTCAAGATAATATCCTCGTCACATTCCATATCTACATCCAAAAAGCCTAGGTGATCTAATAAGGTAGATCTCACATCAAGCTGTATGATATCAAATCAAAGAAAATTCATACGTGTTTGCAAATCACCATTGATTTCATAACCTACAAATCACACTCAAAATCCTTGACACCAATTCTCAAACTTCACAAAATGAACTTCTCCTCACTTAAACTAATACTTGACCAAAAAACAATAAGTGACGTTTTCAAGATTTCTTGAGATTAAAATCTGTTGAAGTCTATATACTGTAAGATTTTTTTGTTACATGCTTCATTCAACTTTGATGAGAGTTCTTCCAATGATCCTCTTTAAGCGATCATAGTCACAGAGCTCTATAAGCATAGACCTGGTGTAATGTTAGTCATTAGTTAGTCAGGCTTGCATGAGCCTAAATTGGATCATGATGTTATATTTCTTACTCACTCTGCTAATTGAAAAGCTTCAATTAACAAAGAACTCATGGCTGTATTAAGTGAGATAGGGATGGTCACAGAAATAGAACTCCTGCAAAAATCATGTATTTTTCAATGATGAAAAATGATTACATTTGTTTTCCAAAATGCATCAAAAATGAATCAAGTCTGCATTTCTCCGCATTAATTCTGCAATTTTGTGCATTAAACTCAATTGGTTTTTTGCCTTGGAGAAATACATTACTTTTGCAGTGTGTGGATGATGATCATAAGGTGGGCCTTGTGTTTTGTAAAACTAACAAAGATAGTGTTTTCATCAAGCATCAAGCTTGGATTTTGTGCTCAAGCCTTCTCACAAATCCCTGCCCTTCACTACAAGTTCAACAAAACAGATCCTCCAATTTGGTCAACTGGTTAGTATGTGGATGGCTCTTAGTTTGTGTGTGTGGCATGGAAGATCTTGAAGTGAGACTCTCATGGATGCTCTAGGTGGCTTTTTTGAAAAGATAGAAGATCTCTATATCAAGATTCTTTGAAGCTATACCTGCAAAGTTAAAAGCAAAGAACATAGTTTTACTTTCAAGTTCTCAACCAATCATTCTACAGACTCAATCAATTCACAAGATCCAGGTACAACATCCTCAAGTCCTTCTTTCTCACTATCAACTTCTCCCCACCCCGGTCTGATCCTTGTTTATTTATCTTGAATCATCTCAACTGGAGATGTTTTGTTCATGTAAATGCTCACAATAAGTTAGTGATGGGTAAGGACACAGCACACTTCTCTACAAATGTTTTCCCAAGCCTGCAGTAGTACATACAAGTTCCATCACAGGAGGTAGAGAGCTTCTAAAAAGGGCCAGGGCACCCAGGTGCCCGCATACAGGACCAGCTACTGTAGAGACAAAGTGATCTGGTGTGTGTGGAACAGAAAATTTCCAAGCCATGGGCAAAATCTTTGCTCTGTTTCTTCTCACAGGTCTTTTCTAGCCTTTCAAACAAGCTCTCTATTTCTTCTCTACTCTTACTCCTCTTTATTTAAGAGAGAGAATTGTTTTGTCATGAGATCTCAGCTCTAGATCATTCCTTTTAAGATTCCATTGTCATAGTTCAACTTCTACTCATCAATTAATTACATCATCTCTTCAGACTGATCATTATGATTTATTTCAGAAATATCCTTTATTCATTAGGCTTCAACTTCTACACATCAATCAAAATGAATTGAGCTTAACTAGAAAAGATCAAAACCACAAAGAATTGCCTAGGTCAACTACACAAAGTGGCTCTAGAGAAACCACAGCAAAGAAGTTGACTGAACTAGAGAAAGAGTGAGCTCAAGCTGAACAGAGAGCCAAGTAGGCAGAATCAAGAGCACCAAAGAATCCCAGTTTTCTTCAATCTGACAAGAGAAGACACAGATCAGGAAATTGAATGAGTTCACCAAGACGGTTCAGAATCTGATCAAATCAATGAACAAGTCAACAAACAGTCTGAAGAGAATATTAATGAGGATGTCAGACCAAAGAGATTGAAATCTAAAGGCAAGAAGAAAGTGGTGAAGAGAGAAGCTTGACTCATTGGTTGAGGAGCCCAAGGCTAAATAGGCAAGTTAGTTGGTTCCTTGTTTTTTGTGTCTTGCAGAGGCTGACCAGTACTCCAAATGCAGTGTTCTGTTGATCAGATTTGCTTGGGAAGCAGTGTACAGCACTCCCTGGTGAAGGTAAAGCATTTGCTCTCCTGATCTTATTTTGCAATCAATGCACAGGTCCATAATCCTATCACTGTGTCCGGGTGGCGGTCTCTCAACAAGGAGGGCACACAGACTGCCTTTGAGGCACAACGGCTACTCATGTGCGCTTGCTGATGAGTAATGCACAGAATTCACAAACACAACAATAAGTAAGTTTGTGATAAAAGTAAAGAGCTTTGAATGAGATGAAGACCAAAGCTTGGTGCCACTCATAGCTGACTGTATAGTGAAAGTGAGTAGAGAGAAAATGAGAGAGAGAGAGTTACGTGCACATAATTTGAGATTATCAAATAAAATAAGAAACATATCAAATTCATCACACAGGATGATAGACTTGCAACATAGATTCATCACACAGGGTGATCACAAACATGTAAAAAAAACTAAGAACAAAACATATCAAATCACAACCTAAACCACCCTAGCAACAGTTTTGTAATATTTGATAATACTTAATAACCAACACAAACACCACACAAACACAGTGTATAGACTTCCCTACTAGGGATAGCTGCTATCAATGTGCTAGACCCTCTCTCATTGGGATTGAGACAGCATAATTATAAGGTACTAACATACTTTGCTCCCTTGCCGACTTGCAGAACGTCCTAAACAAGTTTAGGCAAAACATCCCACAGGTTTATCACCAATAGAGGAGCTGGCTTGACAAATCAATCATGGAACAATTAAAGACACTTGTTGCCATTTGGGGAGAGTGAACAGCATATTTCTTATGAGCTGCTACTCACCTTGATTCCCCATCTGGGGTAACTGTCCTGGTAGTCTTGGCTGATCAAGTCATTCAGAAGAATGTGTTGATGTCCAAGGCAGTAACACTATCTCTGCAGATACAGGCAAGCTCTTCAAATGGGAAGAGAAAAGAAAAGAGTGGTCCCAGCAACAGCTTTACTTTGTCTGAGTCAAAAGAGGATTGTCCAAAAAAAGGAGGTCAAAGAAACCCAACAAGTGTTATACAGAGTGTGAAGGGGATAATCTACCAATAAAACACTAGTAGAAGATTTCTAAAGACTGTCCTCCTAAAGCAAGACAATCAGAAAGGGGAACTGCGTTGAATTGAGTACTGATAGGTATACTTGATTTGATTCAACAGCTCACTTTTGATCATTTGCAAAGCATTTTGATAAATATTTCAATCAACTCAGGTTCATAGTCAAACATGCTTAATACCTCCATCAAAGTTGCCAATCATACTATGGTAGTCATGGAACACATAATGTACATGTATCAAGTCAACATGGTGTAGCAGAATTGCAATCACCAAACTGGAAACCATTTGCTACAAAGTCATCTTGGTCATGAACATGCTTTGCATCCTTTCCCTACCTTTATGTGATATAGTTTCTGACTAAGCTCTTTGCTGTGCCAATTGAGAATCAATGATCAAAGCTTCTAGTTCTGAAGAACAAAATTGTGTCTTGGTATCAATGCAAAGTAGAACAACTTTACAGTCAGAAAACTAGAGATCAGGACATCTAAAAAGTCAAACTCAAGTGAAGATGTTTGGAAGAAATAGGTTATAAGATCAAAGGGACAATTGGTTTTTGATAGATATTTGTAAATGTTGGTATCACAAGCTATACTGAATTAAATCAAAAGTGAAAGATTTTTTGATCCAAATCTCAGAAATCAGTATTCTTTGATTAAATAGTGGGAAGATGGAAAAAAGGGGATACACCAATCATGTGAGGTAAAAAACAACAGAGACATCTGACAATTGCATTTCAAAGACTTGGTGTATCATCAATCTGAGGACTCTACTACATTGATCTTCATAGCCTAAGGAGTTGCACCTAGCCTCACTATGGTTGTGTTGTCATACACAACTATTCTTGTATGTGTATCTTCATGACTACTTGTATGATAATAAAAAAGAGAGAGCATGGTACATATTCACACCTGTTTCAAATTTGAACCAAATTATGTAGTATCCAAATAGATGAGAGAAACTGAAGCTTGAGGTAACCTAATATTGAAGCCGTGAGGGGTTAGGCTTGGGACAAGGATATCATCACCCCTCTCCAAGGGCATGTGACATCACCTATGTACAAGATCACCATCTTTTATCCCAATGATTGTTCTCACCAAATTTGAAACTCATCGGCAGCAAGGTCTCTATACCCCACCTTGCCTCAGCCCCTTCCTGTTGCTTGATGCCAGCAGCAACAATCCAACAGTCCTCCCTTAGATTGCAAGTGCTACAAGGCGGGGATTTTCTGTAGAAAAAATCTTACCTGTGACTTTTGTGATGTATGTGCAAAGATGGAGACAATTATTAGATGTGTCAGTATAAAAGCAGGGCTTGTATGTAAAAGTTCTTATCCATGACTTTTGTGATACATGTTGAACGGTGGAGACATTTATTAGATGTGTCTGATAGGTATAAAAGCCAAATGCTTTACTTGACATTTACTTCTCATCCACACATTCTTTGAGTGTTTCCTCATCTTGACAACCAGTGGTCAATTCATTTTCTCATTACCACAGTATTATAGATAATTTCAGTGACTGATTAGAATATGCATTTACATCTTATTCTGCTGTTAGATTCATTTAGACAAACTCACTCTCTCATCAAACACCACCCAGATACCTAAGACAGGAACAGCTTCTTTGACGTACATTACTTTCCATTGAAGCACTTTTATGGCTCCTTGAAAATCTTTCTCCAAATCCATATATCTAACTTGAATGTGAAATCCAGGTCAAACACCATGAATGCTGTCAGCCTCATTGCAACCATTTTGCTCATCTGCACCTCCTCAGCAACTGTTCAGTCCATGCCGGCCAGAAATTGTGATGGATTTGTGTCGTATGAACCATTGATTGAAGGCTTGGACAAACAGCCCTTCGTAAATCGAGAAAAATCTGTCCACAAAGGCTATGCAGGCCGTACTGCTAATGAGGATGATGATGGTA